TATCCATAAGCTCCCTTTCAGGTTTTCTTTCCTCCCTCTCTATCCCTCTCTCTACTCCCTCAATGTCTGCCAGTCTTCAAGCGCCCAACCCCAGATCTGTCAGAACACCTTCTTTCTCCACTTCTAAACTCAGGCTGCTCAGTCCTGTGGGAGAGTTTACCTAGCCTGACAGATCGGTCCATCCTCTCCACTGCATACAGAGTTTTCTCAAAAAGCAAATCTCTGCTTAGGATCCTCTCATGGCTGCCTTCTGTGTTAATGATTAAGAGCAAACTTGTGTCACTATGCATTTATTAATCTGCAGCTTCATCTGGGAAGTGTATGCTTCCCTAGCTTCTGCACCTGCTCCTTTGCCAGCACAACTCTGGTGTAAAATTATCAGTAACCTATTCGGCCATAACATACATCTCCTCGTGGCAGTCCCCTTTATAGTACCCCCAGTCTCCACGCGCACACATGTGCACACACCTTTCTGGTCTTCTTGGCCTACTAAGGCTCCTCCTTTAGAGGCCTTGTCCTTTGCTTTACACTTCAGGACTTATTTTCAGTTCCCCAAAGACACCATATTCTATCATTCTCCAGATTTTGCTATTCCCTCTTATAGTGCAATATGTCTACTGTTCAAAAACTCCTTAATAGTTGCCATTTCCTGTGTACTATGCAGAGTGTTTGCACACCTTTTTTTTTTTCATTTACTCCTCACATCAGCCTGGTGGAATAAATTTATTTCCCTTTACTTTCCATATAAAGACACCAAGTCTTAGGAGAAGTCATGTAATTTGCCCGAGACATGCTTTTACTAAGAGCCAACCTAGATTTCAACGTATTGTTCTAGAAATTATGTTATGCTGGCTTCTCTTAGGGAAAGGACTATATTTGATTTATTTTTGTCTATTTAGCACCTAGCACAAGTCATAATAAATATTTGTTGAGAACGAAGTGAAGTCTGTGTTAGTCTTAAAGAATGAGAATTCTCTAGGCAGAGAAAACATGGACAAACACAGAAATGAGAGTATCTATAGCAATTTAGAGAATAACAACCAAGTTGCTATGTAAGGTTAAAAAGGCACACTTTGCTGAGAGCAGCATTCAGGGTTCTCTCCACCCATAGCTTATCAGAGTCTCCTTGGCACTGTCCTCCGCGCTGCTGCCCCAGTCTTCTCTTGCCCTTTGCAGCAGAACTCCTCTAAGTGTGGACTGTCTGCTCTTCTACTGTTCTCTCTTGGGTCTAGTCTGCTCAAGCTCCGGCTCTCCTCCTCCACCATGGCCATCAGTAAGGCCACTAGTGACTTGTGTGTGCTGAATTCAGTTGTCATAGTACTTGATTTGTCCATATCATCTGACAAGGTGACAACTCAAGAAATTCTTACTTGGACACTGTCTTCCAGGATACTCACTATCTTGGTTTTCCTCCTAACTCCCTAGTAGTGATTCCTCCCTGTGCTCCTCAGCCTCTAAGAGAGCGCTCTGGGCTCAGCCCTTACAGTCGTTCAGTCCACTCTCAACCCTTTACTTATAAAATCCAATCTCTGTCTTTAAATATCACCTACATGCTAATGACTCATCAGTGTAGCTCTAATCCAGATCTCCCTCCCTGAGCTCCAGACTCTTAAGCTAAATTCTTACTAACATCTCTACTTGGAAGCCTAACAGACATCCCAAATGTTACGTGCCCAAAACTAAACTCCTCCCCTAAAAAGCTGCTTCTCCTGCAGTGTTTCCCATTTCAGTTTAGGGCAACTCCAGCTTTCCTCTTTCCAAAGCTAGAACCTTGGATTCTCACACTCCACAATTAACCCGTCAGGAAAGCCTTCAGAATGTATCCAGATCTAACTTCACTGTTACTGCTCTGTTTACCCACCTGAATTATAGAGTAACACCCTAGAATGATCCTCCTACCTTTGACCTACCTACCAACTGTTCTCAGTGCAGTAGCGAGAGCAACCCTTTTAACGTAAGCTAGAGTACCCTGCAGTGGCTCCCAGGAGAAAACTGAAGTTATAGTAGCCTGCAAAATCAACCTGCGCCCCATACCTGTTTTCCTGTCCTTCTTCTTTGTATGATGTTTCAGCCAAACCAGCTTCTTTGCAGTTCCTCAACCTGCCGTTTCTCCTGCCCCTGCAGCCTTTGCTCTCGCTCTTCTTCCTAGAATGCTGGTTCCTCAGGTAGTCGCATGGCTCACTCCCTAACTTCCTTTAAGCCTTTGCTTAAATGACACCACTTAGTGAGGTCTGCCCTAACCAACTGTTCAAAATTAAAGCCCACCTGCTCTATCTTACCTCTCAGAACACTTAACATCTTCTAGCAGGCTATTCAGTTACTTTTCATTGACTCTTCTCTGCATGCTGGAAAGTCAACTCCAAAGACGCAGGGATTTTTCTCAGCTTTCTTCATAAAACCCTCCTAAAACAATGCCTGACACAAGTAATTAATAAATAATTACTGAATTGAGTTAGGTTAAAGTAGATTTACGTATTTACATTTGAAAATCTTTTGGAGATCTTAAGATTCATCCAAGTAGATTTTTCAGACATGAAAAAAGATACGTGAGCCCCAAATAATAGAGACAATACATCTGACCAGAAAGATTTGTTAATAGCTGTGGACCTACATGTACCATTATCATGCTCCTCAGTGACATTTGGTGTGAAATTATGTTCAGTCCGGCTTTGATACAGGACTGGATTTTAGATTGCCTCTCCTCTCCCACAACTAACAAGGCTTTAATCAGGAAATTAAGGAGCTCTAAATAGGCCTTGCTTTTGAATCTGCGTATCAGGAGGGGGCTGCGAGTATGAGTGGGAGGATGTCATGTCCTGGTGATTAATGATCTCTAGGAAGCTGAAAAGAGGAGAGTAATATACACAGTATTTCTACCCCCTGGAGCAGGAATGCAAACACCATTGTGCGGATCTGTGCATAGTCACTGACTTCCTGGTAGCTGGAGAATTTCATACACTCTTCTACTACAAATAAAACTGTCAGAGAAGTGACAGAGCTCAAAAAGCTGGTCGTCCTAACTTAAAAAGAATAGCTCAAACACAGTGAGCCAGAAAATTAATTTTGTAGTTGTTTGGGAACCCGATTGTTTAATAAGAAATGAGAAAATGGGAACTTTTCTTGAAAAGCCTAAAATCTCCAAATATTTGTTGAATCAAACTCTGTATACGGTTCCCTAAATTTACTGGATTCCTGAAAACTGCTTATTTCAAATGAATTTAAAAGGAAACATTCCTTTGTAATGAAATGCATCGCTTTAAAACTTTGCAGTGTGGTCTCTGTGGTGGATTCAGAGAATCATGCTCTCGATGGACTCCAGAGTCCACTGCCCTATATATTGAAAAAAAAAATCCTAACATTTCACAATGGCTTATGCAGTTGAAGAAAGTAATTCTAGGATGCAGTTCTTCCGTCTCTTTTTCTTTTAGCCCCAGTGAATCTATGCTATTTAATAAGTTTCTAAAGGCTGAAGTGAGAAGTGAAACATTTTTAACTATAGATGTTTGCAAAAATTGTAAAGTTTTGTGGAAAAAGCATTAGATTTTCAGCCAATACAATGGGATTGTGACTGTTTGCAAAATAAGGGCCTTTGTTTAACAGTAGGAGTAATAATAGCAGCAGCAGATTTTTAGTGGGGAAACCAAGTAGCTTATACTTTACCAGGAACCATTCATTCATAGGACTTGTTAAATTATTTTTATTTTTGATTCAGATTTTTTTGATGCCCTTTATATTACCACTCATCGTTCTGCATTGTCTAATTTTTAAACTTTGATTTCCTACAGATTTTTTTTTCCATCGTATATAAAGAAAGAAAGGAAATATTCATAGGCAATGGAACCACACTTTAAAGGAGATAACAATTTCTGTTTTTTGGTTGTTGTTTATTTTGTTTCATTTTTAAGGTTGCCACTATAATCTAAATTAAAAATAACTACGATGGTCTAAATTCAGACAGCATCAGATAGATTAAGCCCTGAATTTGGATTCCAAGTGGTTAGACTTTTAAATTACACTTGCAAGAGTTTATTTTTAGTCAGGATGTGGTTATTTTTAGATCTGCTTCTCTGTCACTAGGAAATGTAATGCCTGTCTTTCCATTGTTGTTTATCAGGAAGTTCTGAGGCACAGGCTTATAAGATCCAGTTAGCACAGAACACTGCCTCTCCTTTTGGATGAAAGAATATGAAATAATGCATGAAGGAAAATATTAATTGAGAACATCTCTAATTTTTTAATTGTTAGTGTCATTTGAATCTCTTACACACTAAGCCACAGAACAAGATTTTTAGGGAATACCAAAAATGTAAGATTTGGTTCCCCCTACTGGTGTGCATCCCTGGCTCATGTATTCATTAATACATAGCAGAAAGGCCTAGGAGAACAAAATAGCTATGTTGTCTTCTCTTAAAGAGACCTGGTGATGAGAGGGCAAGCAAAAGCTCCGTTACCCATGTCCTGCAAATGGCTTATGAAAATATGGGATGATCTGAAAGTTGTATTTTCGACATCTATAGAGAACAAAACTTAATCCTACAACATTTGTTTTTTGATGTTGCTGCCTCTGTGATGCTGCTTATGTACAGTTTCTCAAATGCTTCACATTGTAATCTAAGGAATAATAAAACACCAACTGGTTCCACAGAAGAATTTAAAACCCCAAGGAAAAAGTGCAAAGCTAGCATTGTGTCATAATAAAATTAAAGAGCTGGTGTTGAAGTTCACTAATTCCTCTTTTAGCATTTCAGAAAGTGACATGACATCATCTGATCATGTGTATCCATTTAACATCTGTTCTTTCTAATTTGTCATGTGTATTTAAAATAGTTCTCTTTTATTTTCTGTCTCTTAGTCAGTAAATGCCAAGTAGTATTAAAGGTTCATTTTGAAAAAGAATTTTAATTGACTCCTAAAAGTCACTTCTGAACTTCTTATTATGTTTGCTTTTTAAAGGACGATTCAATCAAATTAAAATATCGTATTTTTAAATTGCTTTTCAGTAATGCAGTCAACCTTTTAAGCAATGTTCCGGTCTCTTGTTTGGATGTTCTCATTTGTCCATTAACTCATGAAGAAACAGCCCAAGAGGCCACGACTCTAGATGAACTGCCCAGTGATAAAACAGCTGAGAAAGCAACAGTTTTGAAAAACAATACCATGGTATACAATGGCATGAATATGGAGGCCATTCATGTTTTACTCAGTTTTATGGAGAAGAGAATAGACAAGGTAAGGCTGATAAAATGGAGGCTTTGGGAAGATACTTCTAAAGAATGGAAATGTACCAAATATACAAACATCCCAGGACATGATTTTTAAATTTAAGCTTTTTAAAATAGTTGACATCTTACAAAATCGTGCTCTGGAAAGCATTTTATTACAATCTATTATAAATTTCTGAAACCAAGTGGAATTATGTGTTTAAAGCTTAAAATTGTGTTGATGGAACACCAAAATTGTGACTAGTGTCATAAAGCAAAGGAAAAATTCATTACTTTTTCATGTAGGTATTTTTTAAGTCCTACAAGTGAAAATCATCCCTCATAAAAACTTGGTGATACTTTCCCTAATACTTAGGACATCTTTTTAAAATTGTCAGTTTTCCATTTGTTAGGAACTGCTTATTTTCTCTCATCTGACACTTGCCTTGTCAAGTAACTATATTAAAAGGCAACAAGGTAATATGGGTGGGTCGCCAAAATCTTGCCTCATTTAAGCCTGTTGGCTAAGCCACTGAAGATGCTGAGTGGGCATTTAATAAACATGAGGATAACTGATAGAATGGAAATATTGTTAGGAAATAACTTTTAAAATAGTTTATAAAGCTTCGGTAACATAAAATGTCTCTTCTCAAAAAAGGAGTATTAATATGTTGAGTTACTTGAAGGAAAGTAATACCTTTAGAAACTAAACTAATGTAGCACATGTGGTTTTCTTTATAGGGAAGCAGTTATAGAGAGGGTCTAACTCCAGTTCTCAGCTTATTAACAGAATGTTCCCGAGCTCATCGAAACATCAGAAAATTTCTCAAAGATCAGGTAACAGCTTAATGCATATTACATCTCAAAGTTAAATCTTCTTATATGAATTTTTTTTACCATAAAATTAATGAGTTGAGGTTTTCGTAATGGTTTTCTTTCAGAAAGTCAGGAACCAGAGAAATTTATTTTAATCTTTGAAATTTTCCTAATCCAGAAATAAGTGATTTTGCGTATCTTGTTGAGTTCATTCATTTATTCATTCATTTAATCAATAAATACTTATTGAGATCCACTATGTGCTGTGTTCTAAGCATTGAAAGACAAATGAAGTCTTTGCCCTGTGGACTTTACCTTATAGTTGGAGGACAAAAAGTAAACAAATAAATACATGATATAATGGCAAGTAGTAATAAGTCTTCTGAAGAAAGACATGCAGGGGAGGGGGAGGCTTAGGGGACGAAGGGAGGGCCTCTGAGGAAATGCCATTTGAGCAGAAACTTGGGTAAACAAGAAAAGGATCTCTGAGAATATTCTGGGAGAGGAATGTACCACACAGAACAAGTTCAAAGTCCCTGATGAGAGAATGCTTTGGTGCTTAAAGAAAAGCTAGAAGGCTAGATGACAGTGCACGAGGGGGAGAGGGGCAAATGATGTAAAAGAGGAAAATAACAGAAAGTTGCTTTTGACTACAGATTCTCTTCTACGTGAAAGGGGAAGGCATTGGACTATTTTGGGAAGGGGAGTGACCTCATTTATTTTTTAAAATACTGTGGCTACTATATGTAGGGAAGACTAGAGGAGTGAGCAGGTGCAGTGAAGCAGCCCAGAGAGAACCGGCGACGAAGGTTTGGAGTAGGATTGGTGGTACTTACTGGTCCTGGTAAGAAGGCCTCTTCCACCACTGACCACCTCTGGTGTCTGTTTGCACCCGGATCACCGTCTCCTCCGTCTCCTGTTCTGTCACACGGGAAGAACTATCCCTGCTGCCTTCTGTGCCAGCCTCTGCTCCAGTCCTGGATCCCTTTACCCTCTCACCTTCCCAAGACCTTTGCTCTTGCGTTTATTTCCTCTCTCTCTTCCTTATGTTAATACTTTGTTCTTAATGTAGTGGATCATTTCTATCCACACCCAAAACACCTTCCCTCTTAAAAACAAAAAAAAACCTTCCCTTAGTCCCACTGCTCAAGCTCTTCTTTATGCAGTGCTTCTCAGAAGAGTTTTCTCTACTACTCTTATCTTTTTATTCATCTTTGATTCTCTCCTGAACCCACTGTAATCCGCCTTTCATGCTCCCCACCAGCCTGCAGAGGTGCTTATCAAAAGTCACCAATCCAGTATTGCCAAATCTAATAGTTCTCAAATCTTTCTTTTTTAATTACCCATAGCATTTTGATGTAACAGAGTAGTCCTCCCTTCTTGAGACAGTTTCTCCACTTAGTTTCCAGGCATAATAGGGAACCCATTCTGGGCACTGTTTGCCCCAAAGCAACATTGTCTTCATTTCCATTTCTGCTCCCTTGCTGATCTCATTAGTAGTCATGGTTTTGAAAATCGTCTGTTATAATGACTCTCAAATTTATGTCTCCAGCCCTGACCTGTCCCCTCATCTCCAAACATATAATAAATTGCTTACTCATCTCCTCACCTGGGATGTGTTTGTGGGTCATTTAAATTAAATATATCCCAAGGTAATCTCTTGATTTCCCATCCCCCCACCCTGTTTCTTTCCCTTCTTTCCACATTTCAGTACACGGTACCACCATTCACCCCATTATTCACTTACTGACATCTAAAATTCCCCTAATAGGTGAGCCAGGTTCATTTTTCCTCTCTGTTTATGGTCAGGATTTAGTAAGTACTTTACTACTTGTAAAATACATTAGCAGATATTGCTGGTAAGGAGAGATTAGAAAGCAGGGGCTCTTTAAGGAACTAACAGTCTATTAGGACAAGAGAGGTTCTGTGAAAGCATGAATAATGTAAGCAAACTAGTTAATTCACGTCATTTCCAAGTTTAATGATTTTAAGACATCTACAGTGACTAGGAGGACTTGGTGAAGAATAATAAATGAAAATACTTATAAGTTTTCTGTATTTTAGCTTTCCACACAAGAGATCAAGGTTTAACTAAACTGTTTAGATTTTGCTATCTGTAACCAGAGGACAGACAAAAAAAAAAGCCTATTGGTTGAACAGCTTCTTTATATAGGCCTTGGGCCACACATTATGTGGATACAAATTATTGTGAGACCCACTCCTTGTCCTCAAAGAAACAGTACAGTACAGACAAAGAGACACGGCAAGTAAAGGTAACTAAAGGTACAAGGCACAGTACCAAAATGAACTTTCCTTTTGAGGAGGTCACTGTGGACTGTGATGATCAAGAAAGGCAGAACTTAAAGTAACAGTTGATGAGCTTTGATAAGACTATAAATGAAACCATAGCTAATTAATTATTATGGCTTGTAGTTAATACCAGAATAAATCCAACTCATGCATACCCAAAGGAAATTGATCTTGAGTATTCTGTATTTGGGCAGGTAGACAGAGAACAGATGGTAGAAATCACTGACCCAGGTTGGGTTAGTCTGGAGAGGCTTGTAGAAGAAATGGAGATTCTGTATGTTTAAAAGAGGAAATAGACAAGTTTGTCAAAGGAAAAATTTGTTGGAAGATAACAAAACAGCAAAGGATCCATACTTAAGCAGTTTGGGAGAATAGCTAACAATAAAAACAACAAAATTTCATTTAAAAAGAACGATTTTAAGGAACCCAAAATGTAGATAACAAAATTTTTGTGATAATCTTTGTCAACAGATTCTGTACCCTGGAACTACAGGCACATGCAACATGAAACCATTATTGTATGTCTCATTCTTCTAGAAATGGTAGATAAATTCAGAATGGTTGGTTGAATCAAATAATAAGAATTTGCTCTGCAATGACTTTGTGCCTATAGAACACAAAGAGCTTTGTGCTCTACCCTATCAGAGATACTCAAACATGGATTTTCTAAATACTTGGGGTAGTTACTCAATTTTCTGAGATTGTTTCCATTTTTGTTCACACTTTGTCCCCAGTGCCACCAATACTTCCTGATCATTGGTAAACATGCAGTACAGAAAGAGAGGGAAGGAGGAAAGTCAGTTGAATGGATTCAAGGGTCTCGCACAGTAAATCACTATTTGACTGTATCTATCCTTGTTTCCTAGCAGAGTACCTAGCTTGTAGAAGGCACTTTGTAAGTTCTGTGAATTAATTCACTTTTCCTTCAGTCAGCAAATATTTATTGAACACCTGTAATATTCCAGCCACTGAGAGCAGTAAACAAAATAAGAAAGAAACCTTTGCCCCATGGAACTGACTCTTGTGGAAGAAAGCAGACAGTAAAGAAATACATATATTCTGTGTCAGATGTTCATTAGTGCTATGAGAAAGACTGAGGCAGGGTAGAGGGCAGTGTCAAAAAGAGAATGCTCAAGATTATTTATGTAGGATAGCCAGGAGATGTCTTCTTGTCAGCAGCATTTGGCAGAGAAATGAAGTAGGGGAATGAGCCATGCAGGTTTCTAGAAAAAGACTTTCTAGGCAGAGGAGGCAGCAAATGCAAAGACCGTGAAGCAAGAAAGTAGCTGGTGTATTTAAGGAATTGCGCGAAGGTCTGTGTAGCTGTAGCAGTATAAGCAGGGAGTATGATAGAAATGAAATCAGGAAAATAGCAGGAAGCTGGATTATATGAAACCTAAAGGAGCTGTAAGGACCTCATCTTTTATTATGAATACGATGGGAAGCTGTGGTAATTGGAGAACTTTGAGAACAGAAATGACATGATCTGACTTTGAAAGGATCATCCTACCTGCTAGGGAGAGAGTAAATCCTAGAAGGACCAGGATGGAATCAGAAACCACTTAGGAAGCTGCGATAATAGTACAGGCAAGAAATTTAGAGACCATATGTGTATCATCTACTACAGCAACTAGCACATAAGAAGTACTAAATAATTCATAGTCATGTTTTTGTTATAAATAAAACTAAAATGTAACTATAGATTTTTTTGGTAAATACTAAAAATGCTGCAGGAAATAAAAGAAGGGAAAAATCATTATGAGTCAGGTTATGAAGGAAGTTTCCATAAAAGAAAGAGAAACTTGACCCAGACTTTAAAATGGATTTTGGCAAGCAGAGGCATTCCAGGTGCTAAGATGAATAAAAAACCAGAAATGGATTTGAATACATCTTGGTGGTATAGTAAAGAGATGTTTCTCTCCAAATGAAATTTCATTAGAGGCATGCAATTATTTCAGGTTCGTTTGTTGTGGTTTAGTTTTATTTAGAAGCAAAACTATTTCTTTGAATGTTTTTTCCACTCTTAGACTGAGCTCAATACACATTACAGGACTGACAAGCTGCGTGGTGCCATCCTTCCTTACTCTAGTACCCATGATTAAGGATGATTTTTGCCTTTGTTCTGTTAGGTTTTACCACCTTTGAGGGATGTGACAAATCGACCTGAAGTGGGCTCAACTATGAGGAATAAGTTGGTGCGCCTCATGACACACGTTGACCTTGGAGTCAAGCAAATTGCTGCTGAATTCCTTTTTGTCCTTTGCAAAGAGAGAGGTAGGTTAAATTCTCTTTGCCCTCTCCTTTTTTATCTTTCTGAGAGAATTTGGGAAATGTTTCCGTTAGTAGTGGTCATCTCACTCCACTCTTTTCAGAGCTTACTCTCGATCTGTTCTGTTAGAGGGCCAGAGGAGATACTAAAAATTAATCATTTAAAAACATTCTCTGTAAACGTCTGAACTGAGACATGTAAACAGGTACGCTCAAACACAGTCACATTTAAACTTTGCCCTCTGTATCCTTAACCCAGACTTCTTCATCTGGATGAGTCACTACATAGAGCCATTATGAAAAATCTGCTTCAGTAATTCTGCTGCTACTATTCTTATAACAAGGCAGAAGCCCGGGTTAGTTCCCCTTGGAATTAAAGCTATAGGAGTTTTGGGTTCTTCAGTATGAGCTGTATAACATACTGGATGGAAGTACAAAAATGCCTTGAGATAAGGGTAAGATAGAGGCATAGAGAAATTTAAAAATAAATTTATACTACAGTGTAATAAGTAATAAAATCTATAATACAATGTAATAAATACTATTCTGTGACTATAAATAAAGTGACTGTCTTCTGAGATATATCTAACAGTTAAAATATTTCCTATAATTATATGGGTTATTTGCTCTGCAACAGGCTAGTTCTCCAAACAAGGAACTTTGGCTGTTATTCAATATTTTTACCTGTATTTTCTTCAGCTCCTAATTTATAAAGGCAGTAGTATAAAAGACCCGTCTAAGCAGATTGTGTATTCCACCTTTTTAAAGTACCCTGGTTTTGTGAGATAGATAATTTTGAAGTGAAAGATATCACTCATCTCAAAATCTTCAGTCAGTTGAATTCCCTTTTTTCCCATTTTTTGAGGTATAATTGACAAAATTGTACATATTTTAAAATCTATAACAATGATTTGATATACATGTACACTGATTCTCCCAGCCAAGTTAATTAATATATCCACCACCTTACATAATTACCTTTTGTGGGGGGCGGAGGGGAGTTTTAAAATTTACTCTCTCAGCAAATTTCAAGTGTACAATACAGTAATATTAATTGTAGTCACCATGTTGTGCATTAGATCCTCAAAACCTACTATTTTATAACTGAAGGCTTATACCCTTTGACCAGCATCTCCCCATTTCCCCTACCCCTTAACCTCTGGTAACCACCATTCTACTCTGTTTCTATGAGTCTAAATTTTTTTTTTTTAAAGATTCCACATATAAGTGATAAGAGTATTTATCTTTGGTTTATTCACTTAGCAGAATATTCTTTAGGTTCATCTATGCTATCACAAATAGCAGGATTTCCTTCTTTGTAATGGCTAAATAATATTACATTATATATATGTGTATAAACATATGCCACATCTCTTTTATCCATTTGTCAGTGAACACTTAGCTTATTTTCATATCTTGACTATTGTGAACAATGCTGCAGTGAACATGGGTGTGCAGATATCTTAGGCTATTGATTTCATTTCCTTTGTATATATACCCATAAGTGGGATGGCTGGTTCATATGGTGGTTCTATTTCTAACTTTTTGAGGAACCTCCGTAGTTCTTTCCACTATGGCTGTACCAATTTATATTCCCTCCACCCGTGCACAGGGGTTCCCTTTTTGCCACATACTAGCCAACATTTGCCATCTCTTGTCTTTTTGATAAAAGCCATCATAACAGGAATGAGGTGATACTGCATTATGTTTTTGATTTAGTGATGTTGAGCACCTTTTCATACCTGTTGGCCATTTGTATGTCTTCTTTGGAAAAACATCAGTTCAGGCTCTTTACCCTTTTTTTTTATTATTATTTCCTTTACCCATTTTTCAGTCAAAGGATTTGGGATTTTTTGCCATTAAGGTATATGCGCTGAGTTCTTAACCTTCATTTCTGACTGACTGATCCACCCACTTCAGTAACTGTAAGATGGTATATTAGCAACATAATTTGATAAATATCATAACAATGATGATAAACACAGCTGTTATGTACCAACGGATCATGTGGCAAACATTCTATGCCATAATCTCATTTAATTGTCATAAGGACCCTGTAAAGTAAATATTATTGTTTCAGTGTCAAAAATGAGGTAACCTGGCACTTGAGAGCCTTTTTGAAACTTACCCAAGGTTGTACAGTTGCTGAGGGCTTAAGCCAAAATTTGAGTCTTATCTTTCCATTCTGCCACGTTTCCTAAATTGTTTTCAACTATTATCATAGGCCAGTTAACATCTGCTCTTTTAAACACTTCAATCCTTTCATGGGTTTGAAAAAAGACTGCTGTAGCATCTTGGAACTAGGTAGCCAGTATAGTGCCTTGCATATAGTTATCTGTAAATACTAGCTGAACTGACCCAGTTTTTCTGAGGTCAGAAATTAGCTATTTTTAAAAGTGTAATTATATGTGTGTGTACATAAATATAAATCACACATATGTGTATCTATCCATTAAGAAAGTTTTATCAAAATATACACCAAAATATTATCCATTGTAACTTATTATCCATTGTAATCCATGATCAGTAACTTTTTTTTTTTTTAGTTCGCTGTATAATTTTTTTACAGTGAGCATGGATTTCTTGTGTTCTTTTTAAAAAACTTGTAAAAGGGGAAAAATAAAATTTACTTCTATAATTACATATGTAAATATGTAATATATGGTACAAGTATAAATAATCACCTTACTAATGAGTGTATGTCATAGCAAATAGGGTATATTCCTTTATAAATGAATTTGTTTCCCATTGGAAATGGTTAGTTTTGTTCCCTCCCTTAGGCCCACTATTTGAGGTTTCCTAGTCCTAACTTTGAATCCCAAGCCAACCTATATTAGCAAAATTGTGTCCTTTCCATTTGACTTAAACAGTTCTATATATACTCAACTGATTTCCCGTTGCAATTTGATTTTAAGTTTCATAGCTGTATTCTTCTGGAATAAAACTACTCATTCAACAACAAATTTTTGAGCTAGACCCAGGGAGTACAGAGGTTCACAAGATAAACAAGGTCTCTGCCTTCATGTTATTAACTTCTTATCAAGGGCTACAAACTCAAATGCCTACAAATGTCAGGCTGGTAATAAAAGTAAATCAAATGGACTCGGCCTAAGACGGTAAATGAAAACTGACACTTAACTCATTGTTGGGAAGACAGTAGTTTGGGACGAGGAGAATAAAGGGAACGTGAGACTGGAAGGAGAACATTACTGCTGCTTAGCTCCCGCTGATTGTTACCAAGAAGGTACAAGTGGCCAGTGTTGCCAGATCTTACAGATTTTTCAAAAGAAGACAGAACTCTGGACTTTAACATAAAATCTCCCAGTTTTTAAATGCTGTTAACTAATTCTAATTTAAAACCTTCTGGCCAAAGGGGAAAAAAGTTTGTAGTCCACATTCACTTTGTGAGTCATTAGATTTTGGAGTGTAGGTTGGTTTTGGAGGCACACTGTATCAAAATGAAATAAATTTCAAATAATTTATCAGAGTGGCTGAGCTTTCTTCTAAAGATGTTCAAACCTAAGCTTGAAGTAAAGGTACCATGATCAAGGCTTAAAGGTCAGACCATTAAGTAGAGACAGCAAGCAGCAGTCAGATTGGGTTAGGAACCCAGAGACTAAATTAAGAAGGAAAATTGAAGGGGGTGAGATAGTAAAATTTTATGGCCGACTTGGCAAAGACTCATCCAAGTGTCTCAAATACCCATCTGTGCCAGGCTAAACTCTATCTCCAACTGATCATGGCCCACAGATTAACTTATGCTCATACAACCAGGTTGTTTTGTTGAGCCCTGATAAACCTGAACTTTTATTACCTGCTCTGAAAATGTATTACCTGCTCTTTCTACAGGGTACCAAAAAATAGGCCTTACATAGTTTAATAAAAGAAAGTAATTTGTAAAATGACTCCAGCCTTTGTGAAGCAAAGGCACCCCCAGCTTTTAATACATTCATTAGTTCCTAGTATGTCTTAGGCATTGTGGTAGGGGCTGAACTGCAGTGATACATAAGGTTTGAACTCCCTCAGCCCGTGGCCCCACATGTGTATACTTACTTTTATTTCCTTTATCTCAGTCTCATGGGAATCAGTGTCTGTTTAGCTCAGAGCTGAACAGTCCCTTTCCTGTCGACCTTTTCTCTCCCTGTGTCCTCAGAAGCCTTGCTCCATCAGTTGTTACCCTCTGTTCTCTTGCTTTTTTAACTCTTCTTACGGGTTTTCCTCAGCCTACATACATCTTCATGTCATTGTCCTTCACATCTTAGCATCATGACTGACTAATTGGTTTTTCTTTCCCATATCCTTACTACCCACTCAGGCTTTACCTTGCAACTTGGTGCAAGTTAGACTTTCCACTGACGTTCCCTGGAAATCCTCTCAGGGAGGTTACAAATTAACTCACTTTCAAAAACAGTGAATATTTTCTAGTCTTCATCTTACTGCTACTCTGATTACAGCTGACAGGCTTGACCACTCTGTAGTTTCTGTGCTACCACACGCTCCTAGATTCCTCGGACCTACCTCTCTGTTCTCACTCTCCAGTCTCATTTGCTAACTCCTGTCTGTGCACATTTAGTTGCCAGTGTTTTCCAGGGTTCACTTCTGGCCCCTTTCCCATTTTATGTTACTCCCTGAGTAATCTCATCCTCTGCCTGGGCTTCTGCTTCAGCCAGTTTGCTTGGGATTCCCAAATTTGTGTGTCTCTTTAATAAACTATTAAAATAGCCATATCTCTCTGTTTCTGGTCAGATTTTCTTCAGTCAGTCTTCCACATGGCTAACAGAGGGATTATTCTAAAATACAAATAAAATCTTGCCTTTCCCCCTTGTAAAACTTTCAGTGACTCCCTATCACCTGCATGGTAAAATCCAAATTTTACCTGCATGGCCTACCTCTTAGTGTATTCTAAATCCACTCCCACCTTATATACTTTCTGCTTAATCACGTTAAATTCTTTATTCTTGCCTGACTATCATGCACCAATCTGGGCATAATCTCCGTGACTCAGCAGATGCTGTTCCTTCTGCATGGCAGGTCTGTGTTAGCATGTTGTACTTTACTTATCTTTGAAGATCAGCTTAAGTGTCATCTCCATGAAGACTTCTCTGATCATCCAAGGCAGAGTTCATCATTCTCTGCCATGTACCATTTTTACTTACCTGTTTTTAGTAAAATTTAGTGACATTTGCTATGTTGTAACTCTTTATTTGTCGAACTTGCATTCTTGAGTTTAAGTCAGAGATCATGTCTTCTTGAACCTTGGATCCCTTGCAGATAGTAGGTGCCCCAGAAATGTTTAGGGAAAGAGCAAACACTTGTGTTCTCTATGACTGCAGTGTGGCAAAGGCACTGTCTTGTGGATTTCTCCATCTAAAGGAATAATTTCAGTACACTTTGATAAACGCTGTAGAGAGGAATGTGCCAGGCACTTTGGCAACCTGTAAGATAGAATGATTGGGTGCTATGGAGAAGGTCAGAGGAAGTCTTAAATGGGAAGCAGCCTTGGAAGGTGTGAGAAATCCACAATGCACAGAACTCATAGATGAGTTTGGAAAAGAAGGCAGAGTTCAGAAATGAAGAACCCTTTAGGTCCCGTTTTAGAACTTGGAGCTCTAGCCTTTAGGGGAGATGTTAGAGGTTTTATTCAGAAAGGTGATATTATCTTTTTGCTTTACAAAGGTGTATCAGGCAGTTGTGTACAACAAGGAATGGAGGAGTATGAGACTGAAAATAGACTAGTTAAAAGAAGCTGCTAGGATAGGATTTCTAAAAGTTACGTATTTGGAAGGAAAAGGATTATAATTGTACTCATGTAATAGAGAAGAGGGGATGGTCTCTGAGAAGAATTCTTGCCTCTTTGTTTTCCTGGTAAGGCTGTTACCGTTACAGTTTGGTTCCGCAGTGATACGGTCACTGCTGATGCAGGTGTGACTGCAGTGTGCCCTGTGGTTTCTTCAGCTCATATGTCCTCTAGCATCTTGACACAATGATGGTGAAATAGTTCTTCTAACTCTCAGACTGAATGCTCACTTTTAATTTCTGCCACAGTTTCACCTAACCGCGTGGATGATTACTATGACAAAAAATAAACATATCTGTCTGTTTCTTTTCTTTTTAAGGACCACCCAGAAAATCTTTTGTCTTAGCAGTTCACCTTAACATCCAAGTTCAGACCATTTTCCTTTTATCACTTTCCCAATATTCAATTGAAAATAGACTAAAAAGTAGCTAGAAACCCTACATCAAATAATGTTCATCAGAGTGTCACAGAGAGAACGCCTCTCACTGTGAAGATGTTGTGGTTCATTTGTTTCCCCTCTCCCAGCCCCCATTTTTAAATATTTTATCCTATTAACAAAAATTCATTTAATTTCAGAACTATTGAATATAGCCTTATCTATTTTGAAGGCAAGGTGTTTTGAACAGCCTTGGGAACCAGAACTATCACAGAGTTGACACATAATGTTTGTTCCAGTGTATGGGGACTAAGTATTATTTTCATGAAAGTGCGAGGAATTTTCAGTGTCAGCTGGCTTCCAGGAGGATTTTTTGCATAGAAAGCAAGTTATTTGGTGTTCTGTTTACTTCTTTTTAACCTACTTTGGCCTCTTATAGACTCTAAATTCTTAAACTATTTTAACCTTTAACTAAATAACCATTGTAGGTGGTTATTTACATTTTGTGCTTTTTTTGATGTTGTTTTGGTTCTAAATATATTCATTTAAACCATTTATTCACATCATCTCAATTTGGACTTTGACAATGTTAGTCCAGTTTCTTTTCTGGAACCACTGAACATCCTTATTTGTTAAGGAAAGAAAAAAACCAGCCTTATCAAAAACCCTTACAGTGAGATTATCAGTGCCACATGGATTCCAATCTGCGATCCTTTGTCCTCAGTGACTTTGACCATGTCATTAACGTCATGTCTGAATATCTGTATAACTGGATGTTCACTTCTAATAACCCACTAAGAATTCAATAATTTATTTAAACCACTCCATCTTTCAGAGGCACTGATAGCAAGAGAGAGCAGATCAGATTTACTCAGAAAACTTTCAAATTAGGGGATTAAGGGGCACTATAATTCACAATCACAATATAGGTAGGTCAAGGGGAAGGCAGCACAGCACAGAGAAGACGATTAATGACTATAACATCTTACTACACTGATAGACAGTGACCACAGTAGAGGGAGTGAGGACTTGACAATATGGCTGAATGTTGAAATCACTACACCCATCAAAAGTGTTGTTTATGTGAAACCATCATTAAGATTGTATATCAATAATAATTTAATTTTTAAAAAAGGAAAGAAAGCTTTCACATTACACCAATGTGATCCCTCTTTTATTTCTAATATGATTCTGTCCAGTACCCACTGAAAATTACCAAGAGACCACATTTACAAAAAGGTTTTAAGGTAGAGAATAGTTGAAAGTGACTAGTGTAAACTTTTATCTACTTATATTATTAATTTATGTTTCATCTTGCACAAATTTCACCAGTTTGCAATACCCTTGGAAAGCGGGACTTCCATTTCTTTGTCCCCAAGCTATCTATTTTCAGTGTCAAAGGAGGTACCCTCTAGTTCAAGTACTTAACAGTTCAGTGAACTCTGTCCTGGACTACTCATCCTACCCAGGTGCATCATGATTTCATACTCTGATTACATATGTGCCCTTTTTTTACTGACCTGTTTCCTCATCCACTGCTCCTTTCAGGTCCCTAAAGTTATTAAATTGCTCTCCTCTGAATCTTACGCCAGCTTTATTTTGTCTTTTTTGTGGCAAGTGGTCTGAATTACAATAGTATTTCAGATGTGGATTTTACTAAGGCTTTTATATATGAGTAAGATGGTGTTAATGTTTTGTTTCTTACAGTTATCTTTAGGATGACATTTTATTGAAAGCCTTACATAAATTTTGTCAGTTTTTATCTTTTGATTGCATATTCTAGTGTTCACCTTGGAATTGTACCTGAAGAAAAAAGGTTCTCACAGATAAAGCTGCTAATAATTGCTTAATGTCTTCCTCAAAGCCTCTTAGGAAGCACCAAAAAAAAATTCCTGCAGTTCAGGGTCTCACACATAAGTTTGATGTTTGCTTATTCTGATCACTGGTGACTAGGTGTACTTGCAGTGGAGAGCCACACCAAGTGCTTCATTGTTTCTTTTTTTCTTTTTTCTTTTTTCTTTTCTGGTTGACAGATAAATCTAAAATGGTCATTTTACCTAATATTGCCAGGGGAAATAAAAATGAGTATTTATTTTGTGCCAGATACTTTTCTAAGCAGTTTGCACGTATTAACCTATGAGATGGATATTATTATTCCTATTGTCCAGATTAGAAAATTAGGGTACAGAGCTACAAAACAACTTAACCCAAAGTCAACTACTAGTAAGTAGTGGAGCCATTATTGAAATCCAACCAATCTAACTCTTGGGCCTGCCCAATCTGGTCTTCATTAACTCTAGTTTCTAATCATCATTTCTCTAAAACTGGCTAAAAAAATAAGATTTGTGATCAGAAACTTAAAATACCACCCTTACCAAAGGCCTGGTGGTCTAAAAGGCCCAATTTCTGCCACAGGGTATATTCAAAACACCTCCGTTTGAATTTCTGATACCTGAAAAAAAGGTGTTTGGTCCTCCAAACATAGGAGAATTTGCAGTTAGTTCGGTTCGGTATAATCACTACCACATTTTGAAAACCCCTCAATTTTTAGATTTACTGCCAGGGCATCTATCTCCCACCCCCTTGTGTTGGTGAGTAGTTGTGACGATAGTGAATCACCAAGGATTCTTGTCTAAAAACTCTTCTGTTTTCGCAGTGGATAGCCTGCTGAAATACACTGGCTATGGGAATGCTGCAGGACTGCTGGCGGCCAGGGGCCTCTTGGCTGGAGGAAGAGGAGATAATTGGTACTCAGAGGACGAGGACACAGACACTGAAGAATACAAAAATGCAAAACCAAAGTATAGTATCAAGTTTCTTTCCTCTTAACTATGTCTGTGCCTTTGAGGTGGTTATTTGCCTTTCACTTCCTTTGTCCTTCATTTTCCAAGTGTTTCTTTCTTTTGTGGATCTGCGAGCTTTCATTTAGAAGTATTTTTAGAGGCAGTTTCACAGCTAGTGCCTTAGAGACTGACTTCCAGTGATTGAGGAAGGATAATATTTCAAGAAATGTTCTGCTGCATGGTACGTTCAATACGATCATTATCCTCCCCAAGTAGTAAGAGAGATGGTGCCCTTAGGCATTTCCCATCATACTCAGAGGGCACTGTTGCTTACTTTTTGGTTTCCTTCCAGCAGTTGAGATTTCATTAAGTATAAGCAAGATCAGGTATTTAAATTAAGTTGGTTATTTGATGCTTCAGTCTTTCTTGGAAACATACACGTAGGTTCCATACATTCTGATCTTACCCCGTGCACGAAAACCTTATTGGCACATTACTAGCAAAAGGAAAGAAGTTTGGCTCCATAGTAAATTTTAATCAAACACTTAAGAAATCATCTTTCAACAGATGTTTTAGTGCACTGAATAGGCAAAGCAGAGACTTTATCAAACCTTCCCTAAGTCAGTGCTTACAAATCAAAGACACTAATTCTTTTATCCCAGAAAACCCTACCTCTGCTTCCTTTTGTTACCTCCTGTCCTTTTACCCCTCTCAGTCCCCATTCCAGATAAATTTCTTAGTTTTCATTTATTAGCAGCTTTTTGAGCTCACTTTTCTAGTTTCCATCACTGAATGTTACAAGGGTGTGCTCTTCCCTTTTGGCCTTATCAGTGATGTTGACATGCTGTGTCTTCTACTGATGGTCTTATAGAGCGGATGTGGATCATGAGTAGTTAATCAAGGATAGAAAATCATTATCTGCAAAATAGGCCCTTGTTTTAAAAAAGTATACATTGTGCCCTGTTGACCTGAAAGTAATGGGTAGTCACAAGTTAGGTGAAAATATTATTTCCCTAATCAGGCAAATTTATTACTTGTAATATCCCCAGGGCCGTCAGCCTCAGCAGGATCTTACAGAGTATGTCCCAGACAAAAAAGGCTTTTGGGGGGGAAAAAGCTAGCAGTGACGTTAAGCAATAAGTTCTTAAGACTGCCACCATTTAGGTGTTATAAATTGGTTATCTTTACCAAGTATTTGAAACTAAGCTAGAGGAATCATACTTCACTCTTTCTCTAATTATAGAAGTCATCATTCTAAATTAGTCTTGCTTAGCTCTTGATTTTTTCCATTCCATAAACTTTATTTCCATGTCGGTTTAATATCTTGTATCCCTCAGTATCTTAATGTCTTATATCTCTCCATTGGAGACATTAAAATATACCACTTAAGAACTCTCTTATTGTTAAATGAAGGTAGAAATTACATCAGGCATTCATTGTGTCCCAGGGCATGAGGACAGCCAACTACTGTAGAAAGTTTTCAGTATTCGTGGATGGTTGATACTGTTGCATCATAATGTATATTGTTGATTTTGTTTGGTATATGACTTCTTTAATGGCAGTGGTCATACCTCTAGCAAGCACTGGGATGCTACTGCAACAACACAGAGCTTGGAGAAAACACAAGAACACTGGGTCTCTCCCAATAGTATGGGAAATAGACATGTGTTACATTATAGAAGTGATGTTAGATATCAGGAGGTCACCTTTTGTTTAAATCAAGGACTATGATGTTTGGCATTATTACAGTCTTGGATCTCTGTCGTAGGGGAGATTCTTACTTAGGCTTTATATCCCTAGGTGGAATCTTCTTCAGCCTTTGCTCATTACAAGTATAAATATTGTGTTTCTTGCATAGCATCACATCATCCCATCAGATAGTTTTGCATCTGTTTTTTTTTTCTTTTATCTTCTGACTTTCAGGTGAAACAGTGTAGTGGGATGTTAATTTGTTAGTTTAAGACACTCAAATAGTCCATGTGGAAGTGGTGATGAACAAAGTACTTTGCAAGCAAGACAATCCTTTGTGCTCTGGGGAACGATCCATCGAGGTCAAAGAACTTTTTTCCTAAAAGTTGTTCAGAAAATTTTTTGCCAATCTAGTCAAAGCTTATAAAGTCAGCATCTGAAAGGACTGGTTACTGCCCTGCCCCATGATTACCCTTTACCAGTCACCGTTCCTATGATCAGAGTCTGCTTTTCTTAGGATGCATGTATTCACAACAGTTGCGAGTACTGGCAGAAGCAGAGAAATTATCCTTTATCCACATGGCCCTAGTCCGTGCTGTCAAAAATGTAAGTGGATCTGATTAATGCACCAAGGTAACCCGTACTCCTTTAGTGGAATCTGAAACCAAGCATTGTATGGTGCATGTATTCAGCCTAGGGAAGACAGTTAATATCACAACAATCCTTTTTGTGTCAAAATAAGTATGTAATGGACTGAAAGTGGCTTTAGCACAACTAGACAAAATACACTCAGAGAATCATGATACATGCCACACAGATTTTTGGTGTATGTATAGCCATATTTGTTTAAAGTTTTCAGATAAACCTTGGTCCTGTATCAAACAAAACAAATTTCTGAATTCTGACTTTTATACCTGTTTCTCTTATGCCTTAAGCATGGAGGACCCTTGACTATATAGGTGGTATAATTAATATGGTTTGTCCATCATCCCAAACTTCAGTTGAAAGATGTGTACCTTAATGACATTTAGCTTATTTTAGACCAGTGGCTTTCAGGCTGGGTATAGATCCAGGGGTCCAAAGAGGTATCTTTAAAGGGCTGCTGTATTGAGGGGCAGAAGGAGAGGGCAGCCAACCTGGGCAGAGCTCTAGGGTGCCTGCTGACACTCTTAATACTCCCACACTAGTTCATAATCACAAGCAGAGGCCTAAAACCATTGCACCAAGCAACTCGGGGGTGTTTCCTTCTTAACTATATTTGCCTTAGCAGTAGCTGTGGCAGCAGCCGTATAGACAGTTTCCTCGGCACAAAAGGAAATCTTTTCTTTCATGAAGATTGTTATATTTAAGTCAAGTCTCATTATAATTGTCTCCATATATTGAGGCTGTACAAGTATTGTTTGAAGTAAATTTGTTTTAATTTGAGGCTGTACAAAAATTTGTTTTTTAATATTGCTTGAAGTAAATCAGGAGTTGTAGATTTTTCTCTTTGCCTAGTTTGATCTATTCTTATGTGTAATAGGATTTAACTAACATCTCTAGGAACTGGAATTTTTACTGTAAGCCATGAAACACAATCTAAATCCAGATCTCTAAAAAACCAGAATAGAAAGTAAAGTCATTGCTACTTCTGCCATGAATATTGGTTACTTTATGATATTTGCCATCACACTGATTTTGCACTTTCAAAATTGAGTTCCCCAAATTGAGTTTCTTCTATGTTATCATTTGGGTAGATGACCAGCGAGAGACCACGTGTGTTATCTGAACTGTAGTGTTGAGCTTTGCTCGGTGTTTCATTTCCTGTAGATTTATGACCATAGTATTCTGTATCCTTTTAATCAAGGACATCACTCTTAATCCAACAGCACAATATAGAAATCATTTTTAAAGCACTATAATTTAAAAAGGCATTTTGGACCTGTTTTAATTGCTTACATGCAACTTGGTATTTGTGTATGTAGTATTCAGTGTGTATATGTTTGTATGGCTAATACATGCTAGATACTTAATAAATATTTGATAAATAAGTGAAAGAATGACACATTACCCTAGTTCTTTGCATTGCTAATAAAATGGGAAAGCTTGGATTAAGATGTTTCATAATTTACCCTACTTCTTCAATGTGGAATCAGTGTTATATTTATATAGTAATTCTCAAATTACTTGAGACATTTTGAGCTTCAGTCATGATTAAACTGGTATCTTTTCAAAATATCTTATATCTGCATTTAACAGTAGCAAACTCCACCAAACACCTAGTTGTTGTGTGGTTTCTGTAGTTAATGAATATTGTGCTGTTAGCCCCATAGTGATGACTGACTGAATAAGTAACTCACTGGATCATCCAAGGCCTTCTGACTTGCTTATTTCTTGTGCTAATAATAATAGCTGATATTTATTGTCTGTTGTGTGCCAGGAACTGTCCTAAGAACTCTCCTGATACTGTCTCATTTAATCTTCACAGCAGCCCTTTAGGAGGTGGGCTATCCCCATTTTACAGACAAGGAAACTAAAGCTCAGTGATGTCATATAACTTGTTCAGGGCACACAATTCATGAGTTCTGAAATGGCCTGACTGCAGAGCTTGTTTTCTGGGGTTTTTGTTATTTTTTGAGGTAGGCAAAGCTTTATTTTTGAGGTAACACAAAGTTTTATTGTGTTCTCCACTTTGCCTTTTTATTTGGGGAATAAAGTAAACATAAAATTTACCATTTTAAGAGTTTGATCTGTGGTATTACCCACTGTACACTGACGTTCTCATCTTCCCTGACGAAGCTCCGACCCATTCCCCTCCCCCTGGAACTACCGTTCTACTTCCTTTCTCTGTGACGTGACTAGGAACCCCAGACAAGTGAAATAGTACACAATATTTTGTCCTTTCATGGCTGGCTAAATTCACTCAGAATGTCTTTAAGATTCATCCACAAGCTAGAATATGTCAAAATTTCTTTCCTTTTTAAGACTGAATAATATTCCATTGTATGTATGTATATTTCATTTATACATTCATCCATCAGTGAACACTTAGGTTGTTTCCCCCTTTTGCCTGGTGTAATGCTGCTGTGAACGTGGGTGTACAAACATCTGTTCATGTTCCTGCTTTCACTTATTTTGGGTATGTCCCCAGAAGTGGAATTGCTGGATAATATGGTAGTTCTATGTTTAAATTTTTGAGGAACTTCCATACCATTTTACATTCCCACCAGCAGTGCTCAAAGGTTCCAATTTTGCCACATCCTCACCAATAGTTATTTTCTGTATTGTTGTTTTAATATAATAGCCATCATAAAAGGTGTGGAGTCAGAGCTTAAGTTTTAACTGCTGCCTGTATTCTTCCTCAAGGCCAGTCAAGAGGAGACATGAGTTTGCCCTTCACATAGTTTCCCTGATCTTAGAGCATCTGTTCTCTTTCTTTGATGTAACCCATATAGAAAATAAGAGAAAGAAAATGTACTTTTATATACCTGAAAGCATAGAAGTTCTATTCAGTTCATCCTAATTCACATAAATCTGTCTTGGAATTCTAGCTCTACCTTCATAATATATTCTGAATCCAGTCTTCCCTATTGCCATTACTGCCATTACATCCCTTACTGCTGCCACTCCAGAACAAGCTAAAATTTAGTCTCTCTCCCAGATTATTTTAAATAGCCTCCTAACCATTCTTGTTGCTTCTACCATTGCCCCTTTTCAGTCTCTTCTCAACACAACAGCCAGCATAATTCTTACAACATGTAAGTAAGACATCACTGCTGAAAACGCTACAGTGGTTAACAACCAAAGTTCTCGCAGTGATATTCTGGGCCCTGTCTCACTGCGCTGTCACCACACTGGCCTCTTCACTGTTTGTCATGCTGTAGACACACTCCTGCCTGCGGCCTTTCCATCAGCTGTTCCTTCTGCCTGGAATGCCTATTTTCCACATGACTACATGTCTTACTCTCTTACCCCCTTCAATACAAAAATCTCAATGAACTCTGAGATAAGAGTTTAGACTACCTTTTGTCCCCTATTTGGAAGATATACACAGTCACAGAATTGGAGTGCTGGGAAGATGGGGGAGGGGAGCAGAGACAAGGTAGGAAAAATCATGATAGATATAAAATTACTCAATAAAATATCCACCATAAGTGTATGTAAAGCATCTTAAGACTCAGTCTTGGAACAAAATAAAAGTAACCCCAGAATTTCAGTGTTAAGATCCTGAAATGTAGAAAGTTAAGTCTCAAACTATTACTAGTTGAGGTTATAAATATTTGAGGTGGCAAGAGATTGTTCAAAAAAGAAGCAATCTGTTTTATGAAGCTTCGCATCGTTTTTGTTGTGACTGTTTTCTCTACCTGTGTATGGAAACTACATGACACTGGTTTAAAGTGGGGTAGAGGGAAGACAGTATCCAAATTCACCTCCTGCCCCCAGCACACTGGTTTTTTCCCATAGAAGAGTACCATAGTTCAGTGCCCCAACTTGTGTTTTCTGTGGTGGTGTTTACATTCTTCTGAGCACTATGGGGACTATGTCGTTTTAAAAGAAAAAATTTATCTTCTGAAGTGACTTTGGGGTGTTGGAATGCTTTACTGCATGGGTAAAGGATGGTAAGTTCTTACTCTGTATGAGTGAATTTCTGGCTGCTGCTTTTATGTGCAGTGAGCAAAGGATTTTGTGACTCCAGTAGCTAATTTCAGAGCAAGCTGTCAAGTCATTTTAGCAGCAGATGCTTGAAGTCAGCTATGAAAAAAGGGACATCATTTCCACTAAGCCCTTAAAAGAACCAAAAACCAAGAAAAGACTCAAATGTGCCCTGATTGAGGGATTCATGTCCTGACTTAGTATGCTCTGGTATCTCCAATACACCACAGAGCTTACAAGTGTGTCCTCCTGACACTATTTTTGTGTTTGAGGCCCAGGATGGCTTGTGCTAATGCCATTCATTATTTTCTAAACAGTCTGTGGATCTGATATTTTAAATCACCCCTCCATTGAACTTGGGGAGAGAAGCCTTCTCCCAAGAAACAAATGAACATGATCTACACAGTTAATACATCTACCTTCCTGTATACTTTTGTCTAAGGCCTGGTTTCTTTTTGTCTGCTTGGGAAGTGGTATGTGCCTGTAGTAAGTACCTTCACTTATTTATAAACATAGTTGTTTTTCTAATTTAGCAGGCGGCAGAAGAGAAACCAGTGAAAACATGTCCTGTTGTTATACACCTAAGCAAATAGTAGATGGGTGGTGGAATTGCACTCCAGTATGACCTCTGGATATGGCTTACAAGCCCCAGAGTTCTCAGAGCCTTGTTAGGTCCTCTTTGTTCTTGACTTAGGAAATATGATGACCCCATACGGCATTTTTGTTAATGGCCACTAATTAGAGTAATAATGGAGAGAGAACAGTAGACCACAGTGGGAGTCTGAAGTGGGCACTCTCACCTAGTGCTTTTTAGCCTCACTGTGTGCCAGAATCATCAGAAAAACAAAAAACACAGATTTAGTTGGTCGCAGGTGAGGCCCAAGCCATTTCTTTAAAGTTTCCCAAGTGATTCTAATGTACCGCTGAGGCTAAGAAGCAATGACAAGCCTGTGGGTTTTCAGACTGTTGCCCCAGAGCCCCAGTTCCTCCAGGTACTTGGCGGCTGTCTTAAGGGGAAGCAGGTGAGTGCAGAAGGGGCTTTAGGCCCCACCCTCCTCTGCCATTCCCCTCTCCTGCCCCAGCAGTTCTACTTTGTCTGTTTTACATATTGGCTTTCTGTGTAGATTTCATTTGTTGGGGGATGGTGCTTGACACTACTTGGGAGGAGAAAGTTTTTTACATGGCTCTAGACATAGGTCTTATGCAAGAATGGCAAAACAGATGTTTTAGATCCAGCTTTTGAAGATGGTGAGCAGTGAGTCCTTCCACAAGATTCTGTATGACATGTAACCTCTGAGGAATGTAGAAAAAGAAAAGGGAATCTTTTAGTAACAGGTAATAGTACCTCATGACCCAGCCCTTACTCCAAATGAGAAAAGCCCTGAATAATAAATGTCTCTGGTTTGGCCCACCCACCCCCATTTAGACGAGGGCTGTTTTCCAGTTTATTCCAGTCCCAACACTCACATAGTTCATGTCTGACCAGTCCACTCATTTGCTTCTCCTGAAAGCCTGGCGCCTGAAGCATTTGTTTTTAGACTCTTGAAGGTGATGTACTAGTGGTTTGCTGTTTGCAGGGTATTTCATTTGATCCTTAAAAATAAACTGTATTTGGCTGGAACAAAATTCTGTAACCTCTTGTCTGCTTCTTCAGAAAGGTGTTTAAGTTATAGATATTTAGCAGCCATTGAAAGAATTATCTTTTACTTGACCTCAAAAAAAAAAAAGATAGTGTGGCTTTTATCTAAGAAGATAGCTTGTTTGGTATTAGAACTTCATACAAAGTTTACAGAATGTATTCATTTTAAGTACTTTATTAAATCTATTTCCAGAAAGCCAGATGGTACACCTGTCTCTTGGTAGGCTATAAGTTTACAGAATGTATTCATTTTAAGTACTTTATTAAATCTATTTCCAGAAAGCCAGATGGTACACCTGTCTCTTGGTAGGCTAGATTTCGTTCCTTTTTTTTTATCTAGGTCAGATCAAATCTAATTAAAATTGTTCTTCTGCTTTATCTTTTATTATTTTAAACACTCATTGCCTTCTGTGGTCTCACTAATGGACTAATTTCCTGAGATTATAAATTGGCATGCTTTCATTTTCAGATTCCAACCTCTCTGCCATCATTTTTCCAATTTTTTTGACATATTTGTTTTATGCTGTATCACAAATGAATTTCCCTTCTCTGAAACCATTTGTCTGCTTATAATTAATGAATAAGCTGCATCCAAGGAAATTTATCCTAACAACACCAAATTGCCCATTTTTAAAAAGCAGCCAACCTTAACAAAAAGAAAGTTGGCAAGCTAGTTTTACTTTTTTAAAAACAAAAGCTATCACCCATTTCCCAAAGCATATTAGTAGGAAAAGTCTTTTTTAAATTCCTATAGCAGTTCTATACCACAAAATTGCTATTATTGCCAATTTTTTTGGCTATTATACTCTTTCTTATTATAACTTAAAACTTGGACCAGAAAAGTATAGAAAGAGCATAATTTTAAAACATACAGCATAACTTTTTTTTCTTTTTGTAGCATTAATCTTATCACTGGTCATTTAGAGGAACCAATGCCAAATCCCATAGATGAAATGACAGAAGAACAAAAAGAATATGAAGCCATGAAACTTGTCAACATGCTTGATAAACTTTCCAGGTATTGTATTCCCATCCATTTTTTGCTTGGTTTCTAAAATTGTTCTATTTCTGTGTCTCTCCCTCTGAGAGTTACCATAGAACAGCACCTCCGGAAACCCATGTGACTGGAGCAGGGCGGCCCGGGCAGCCGCTCAGGGCTCTCCCGGCCACCACAGTTTTTCTCCGTGGGCCGCTTCTGGCTGTGCGTTCAGAAACATCTCAACTCCAACAGGGTAGTACTACTAGGTCACTGTGATACTTAACCAACTAACCTCCCTGTCTTAAGATGCTGTGAATTAGGTTCAGTGATTTTGCTGCTTCTTTTATTTTTTTGTTTTAGTCTGTTTTGGTTTTTGTTCTAAATCATGATGCTTTTTTTCCCCCATTTTTGATGTGCAAGTTTGCAATTCTCTCTTTTTGGGTTGCTGCTAAAACCAAGAATCCTAAAATGTCATGCACCCAACAGGAAAAAATGAAAAGGAATAGCTAACATGAAAGATTTTCTGAAAGCAGGTGCTTTTATTAATTAGGGGCTCTAAAAACAAGCTCCCTTCCCTTCTTGCCTCATACCTCCTTCCCCTCCAAAAATAGCCAGTTTTGAAAATAACTGAATCAGATAACTACTAATAGTCAACTAGTTATCTTGGAGGAGTTATTAGAAAGTATTAATTCCTTTCACACCTGCCTGAATCGCTCTGTTTTCCAGTCATACACTGAGTCACTGTCTCCTTTAAGCCATCTTGAGTGAGTGCTTCTGTGTGTTGGTGGCAGCTGCCATGGAAAGGTGATTCTCTTCTGGGCGTCTCCTCACAACTGTGTGAAGACTAGTAATACCCCTCAGTCAAGAGAAGTAGCAACAGGAACGAGAAAGCCAGACTGCCAGCCATTAAAGAGGAAGGCGTAACGAGCAAGCAGAGGCTAGGAGCACAGCGGGAGGCTTGGAGTAGAAATGTTCTAACCAAGAAGCTGAGGGGCAGTGTGACCAGTGCAGGTATTTAGTGTGACAAGTGTGAGTATCAGATCAGACTCTGCAGAGTAAGCTTTTTTTCAAATGATGCTGGTAACGTGGCAGAAGTTACAGAGAAGTAAGTAGCTTTAGAACTTACTGACTCCCAGCTAGTCCTTTTGAACTTTCATCCTTTCCAAAGAAAGTTAGAATTTACAGCTAACTATGCTCACAATCTTCAGAAGACATTGTTATCTGTTTGCAAATGACATTCTTCTTACCTTTATGTAGAACAGATATGTTCCTTTCTTGAAGGAATTATAGCCAAAGGGAAAATACTGATAGTGGCCAAACCTGTAGAAGACAGAATAACAAGTTCTGAGTGAATATATAAAAATAAGATTTGTGCTTGGCTACTTCCAAAAGGATCTGATGTAGCTAATGAAATGCATTGGTATTAAGTACAGCAGTTAGGATGAGCCCCAAGAGTCCATCTGGTAGAAGCAGGAGGGGCAGTGGTAACAAGCACCTGAGGGTAGTATTTTAGTGTGTTAAGACAGAAAAACACTTAAGTTGCATAAATTTCATTTTCATACATTTTATTTCAATAATATGAGTTCTTAAAAGATAACATGATGCTATATTCAACTGTCCTACATACCCTGGGTGAATAAACTCTAACATGGGAGATGAGGAAAAGAATTGCCTAAGATCATGTAGTGTAATTCAGGTACTTGACTTAATTAGAGAGATAAGACTGTTTCATAAGGCATCCCTGTAACAGAGATATAAAATGGTGCTAGGCCCTTCTTCTTAGGGGAATCCACATATTCTAGAAGCTGCCAACAAATATGTATACAAACCGAGTCTGAAATATCCAAGCTTCCCCTTGATTTAAACTGTGCCTCAAGGAAGATACATACTCAGAAACACCCAGCAGATGCCTAGCTCAATCTGAAGGTGATACAGATTTTTGCATGTATAAAGTGCAGCAAATGTCTTGTGTTGGCTTTGATGGTACCAACTTTGCCATTAAAGTTGAAGCTAAAGGGAATAGTCCTAAATCACCGGTTTTTTGCATGATGTATGATGGGTTTTTTACATTGTCTGCCTTGATGTGCTTTCTAACATTTGCTCTAATAACAATCAATGACAAAACTGTATGGAGATCAGCAGTGGGCATTCCAAGGCAGGAATGCAAAGCATGAAACCATTCTTTATGCATCTTGTATGTTTGTCCTAAGTTTCTTTTATCTTTTCACTGTTGTTTTTTGGTTTTGGTTTTTTGTGGTTTGGTTTTGAGATAAAAAAAGATGTCATACAGCCAAAGTAGACTAAATTCAGGGTACATCTGTTAAGTGGCTACTCTGTGCAAGGCACTGTGCTAGAAAGATGAGGGAGATTCAAAGGTGAACCTGACAGGCTCTGCCTTTGGGAAACTCACAGTCTAAGTGAAGAAAATGGCTGTAATCTGTTCTAGAATACAAGATAGAAGGAAACAATGACAAAATCAGGTCTACATTGAACTGTGAGCACCCAGGAAAAGGAGCAGTTCATTCTGTATGGATGAATCAAAGACTGTTTCACAGGGAAGTAGCTCTTGTGCTGATCCTTGAAATGGACAAATGACCATTCATTCCAGGTTGATGGAAATTTACCCTTGCTAAGATAAATATTTGGTATTTACATACTGCATTTTTATTCCAAAGAGCTCAGGTTGTTTTATTACTGTTTTGATCAATATAATGTTATTAGATTTATCACTGAGGGAAGCAAGGCCCAAAGACTTGCCCCAAACATTTCCAAGCTAATGACTGGTGATAATCCATTTCCTCTAACAGTTAATGAAACACTTTCACATACATTCTCTTTCTAGCTTCATAGTAAAGTGAGACTAAGAACTTCATTTTCCAGAACTCAAGACCTTTGCTCTGTCCACTCTGCTACTGTGCCTGTCTGTTAGTGTCAGTGTTTGCCGACACCTCCTGGTCATCCTTTCAGCACTGTGCTACTGGATAGTTCCCTCAACTGTCTTCTAAGGATATTCTGCAACCCACCAAGTCCTTACTGTGCTAAGAGTGTACTGTAGCTTCGTCTGATTAACTTTCCTTCCCAAAAAATGGGCCTGAATTGAAAGGCGTGAGATTAAATAATTAAGGTTGGAGGTGACGTGGCCAATGAATGGACACTAGACACTTCCTTTTTTCCACCCATAGGAGAACAGATGTGAAGGACCTGCCCCAGGATGGTGGTTAGCAACAGTGGCCCGTGCCAAAGCACTTACCAAAGTGGTGACTAAGGTTGGTCATACCAAGTACTATTACTGAGCCTGGTGTAGGTGTAGATGTTATTCACTACCGAAGCTGTAAAACCACCAGTGTAAAAATTAAAGTTATATTTTCATTTTGCCTCTGGGCTATACATAGCCACTGCCTCAAGGAGCTCACCACCTTAGCAGCTTTATCTCAGCTAGATTTTCAAGGACACTGAAGAGATTAGTACTCAAATACTTTCTTCCCATTGAAAACCAACTGACTTAGTAGTATTCCAAGTGATTTTTTTTTTAAGTATAAGGATTGTATTTGTGACCAATGTAGATAAGGGGATGGCATTGGGCCAGGAAGTTTTATGAGTTAGAATAATTTGAACCCTACAAATCCCATCATATCTAGCTAGTACAGTGCCTTGTACCCTGAGGTTTCCCCATTGTATGATGATGAAATAATGAACATAGCCGATTCCCTAATAAGAAGTCAGTTTTTTTTGCTCTATAAAACAGCCTATATGGTTTAAGACTTCAAAGTACACTTTTGTCAGTTCATTTCTTGGCCAGATGTCATAAAATTCAGGGCCAGAAAGGAATCCCATAAAGGTACTGTGGCCCATGGCTGGCTGATTTAACCATTGAAATACATAATTCCATTAATATAAAATGATAATTGTAATGTTTATCAAACAGAAGCATTAAGCATGGCATGAGATTATAGGAAGCCTCATTTGACATTTTTAATGTGAGAGCAGAGGTGGAAGGGGGGATGAAATTTGCTTGCCTCTCCACCTCCTTTTTCCTCCTCTGAATTGGGAAAGAAATAAGCAGGGGATTAGAATGGGGATTGTGTGTGGTTAAGCAAGTCCAGTGTGGCTAATACAATTGCATTCACCTTAGTTACAGCATACAACTTGTATATAATAATGCAGCCTCCTCCTGAAGATGGGAGAGGATTGAATGGCTTAAGCTTAAACTAACCAAGGGAAATGATATTTCAAGTTTCAGTTTTGTTTTGACTTTCCTAATCCCCTTTAGTTCCTTAATTGGAGCCAGGACTGATTAATCTTCTACCCCACCTTTACCCCATCATCATAAAGAGTTTAAGAATAATCTGAAGGTACATTGTACAAAAAATTGCCTTTTTGCTTATTTACTCTATCAAAATCTAAAATTTTTATACATAGTAGTTGTTTTCACACTTCTTAGCTACTCCTTGTCCTCTATGTATTCTTTTTTTTTTTTTTCACCAATCATTGTGTAGTATTTGGGACATGGCTTTCTTAATAAATGCAGGTGCTAAATATAGGGATACATGTATATATATTATATAAATAGTTCCTTTAATCCAAGGATTATTTTTAAACTTAATAAAGCTGGGATAGGTGATTTATAAAGGAAAAGTAATACATAATTTTTTCCTTATGGAAAGGTACTTTACTCTGCTTACAAAAATATCAAGAATTGATCACACCCACCTTTATGATGAGTTAGTCAACGAAATACTTCTCAGGTACATATCACAAGTGTGATCAGCAGTACATAAAATGTGAAGATATTGTTCATATCAGAAAGTCTTTTAGGTCTGTACTGTCCAATATAGTGACCACCAGCCATAAATGACTACTGAGCACTTGAAATATACTTGGTCTGAATTGGGATGTCTTGTAAGTATTAAATATTCAGACTTCCAAAGATTCAGTGCAAAGAAAAGGAATTAAAATACCTCAGTTGTTGAATATGGATTTTATGTTGAAATATTTTTTATATATTGTGTTAAAATATATTAAAATTAATTTTACCTACCTTTTCTTACTTTTTTCAGTATGGCTACTACAACATTTAAGATTATATATATGGCTTAAATTTGTATCTTACGATATTTTGATTTGACAACACTGTTTGTTGTTCTACATCATTAAAATATAATGTAAAGTTGCTTGAAAGTTCAATCAAGAGAACTTGGGTCCAGTTAAATTAGTATACCCTTTAAGTGGCAGGTAAGGATTACTTTGAGAAACTTGATACTGTACATCTAGGTTATAGAGGGCCCTTCTACTGACCAGACACCCCCAACAGGATGTCATGCTACCTTTGTGTCACCCGTTGGGAGTCACTGTCCTTTAACTCTGTAGTAAGAATGACTACTTTGAGCTGTGGGTTTAAGTACTAGCTGAAATGGCTTCTGCCTATTAGAGAAACATGAAATAACAATACTGTTCACTGGCCATTTGCTCTCTGGACCCTCCTTCTTAATTCTTAAGTCTTTCTAATTGGAAAGACTATGTAAGAACTTCTATTTCTACTGCTTTATTCAACAGGGTCAGTTTGGCATGCTGACCTCTTAATAATTTGGACAACAGGATAGAAAAGTTCTGTAGAGAAATTACCAAGAAATAATAAAGAACACCCTTCACTTAAGGATAAAACTGAATTTTATTCTTCTAGCACTATCCTTAACCTCTTTCTCTGTATCTTCTTAACCATGCTGTTTAATGTGAGGTGGGTAGCAAATTTTTAGAAGCTTTGCATGTGATCTTCTAACATAAATGAGAAAAATAATAAAAGATTAATATTTTATAGTGCTTTAAAGTTTAAAAAGTGTTTCCACATTTATTATCTCCATTGATCATTAAACAGCCCTGTGAAGTAGATAGGGCACAACATATTTTACTGAAGAGTAAATGGGACCAATGATGAAGGGACTGACCCAAGATCAGGCACCTGATGAATGACATAGCCAGGACTCAGTCTTCAGGCTCTAGATCTTACATTATTTTGAAAAATTACCAATAGCTCTCAAAAGTTTGTCAGTCTGATTATTTTTAACAAGACATTCCAAATTTTAAATAAATGCAAAGCACAAAGACAGACAATAAGCATGTTTACCTGAGTAGAGAATTAAGATTTGGAGGAATGTATTCCTGCTTTTTCAGTCCATAGCTGAGCTCCTCTCAAATATCAGATCAGGTGCTAAATAGCTTATGTGAAAGAAAAGAACTTTATATGAAGTACAGCAGTAAAATCGCTATGATTCTATATTAATAGATGGTCTCTTAATTATTTTGAAAAGAGAATGATTATAGGTATTCAACAAATTATTGTATTTAATGTAATCATGTTAGGAAAACCAAACTTTTAAAAGGCTTCCCTATGGGACTGTTTGGGCAACTCCTAATTACATGTACAAAGTGGAAGGACATGGTAAGGACAATATGCTATTTCCATTTGTCTTGGGAATGATATTTTTAGGCTACATATTCTACCTTCCCAGATGTACCCAAAGCACAATGGTGAGGTCTGAGGGAAAGATTTCAAAATTGTCTTTTGAAAGATACAGCTGGAAGACCTTGAATGGGCTGTGGAAAAGCCACCATACCCCTCCTACCTACTGGGTAGTGGCTTAGTGAAAGATCTGTATAACCAGTCAGCAGTAGGAAGCCATTAGATGAAAGGTACAGGGAAAGATAAAGGATCAGGGTCCAAACCCAAAGGGGGCACCCTTTCACAGGATGTAACTGGCATGTTAGCCCGTGGCAAAGGTAATATTATTTCTGTGAGCAAAAAGGGTTAAAAACACTTGCAAGAGTATGCAAGTTAGTGAGAAATCCATTGTACTTCAGTGGATTGCAGACTATTCCAGTGATGGTGAAATCTTGAAATTAAGATGCACTCTCAGACTTGAAATCAAAGCAAAGATTACAGAGCTGCTTTCTCTGGGCTGTCACAGGCTCCATTCTAGCGGGCGATTTTTGAAAAGCTCTGTGCCATTAAGATGCTTTATTTATATACCAGTTTCTCATCCTATCTTTCAAATGTGAAAAGGAATTAAATATGAAATGGCTAATTTAAAATGTCAAGGTTCTTTTTTCCAAGCCAACCTTACATTAAGAGCAGGAATCCCTGAGCCAAAGAAATGGTTCCCAATTATCCCGTCTTGGGTTTTGTTGTACATTGTGCAGAAGTCAACAAAACAAGTATGTAACAGAACCTGCCTAAATAGCAGCCATCCTCATTAAAAACAGAGAATTAATCAGGGGTGTCTGAAGGAAGCAGTGCCTCACAGGTTCTCCCCCTTTTCTTCTTTTCTAATCATAGAACAAAATATATTACATAAAAGGATCGAAACTATTATGCAGTACTCAATTAGAGGGAGGTGAATAGGTCTCTAACATGCTGTTTTATCAAAAGAGCAGACTGGTGTTTGCATGACTGTTGTTTCATTACAGACCCTGTCATTAATTCCATGTGTCAATACTGCCCTGTAGTACACAGAGCAGACAAGAAAGAAGAGCCCTTGAAAACAAGGGAATGGTTTTTGAGTCGTTATCAAGCTAAGTGGCAAGCGGGAAGCTGAAACTCGTATAGGTAAATTCGAAGGGACTCTTGGGAGATCTGCAAGTGGGAAACAAGAATGCATTTACCAACTGCTTAATTATGTCCTGTTTTTCAACAAGTACACTTGAACTGAATGCTTTGTTTGTACTGCACGTAAACATGTGCTGTGGGCAAGAGTATTCTCTTGCTTCCAGGTCAGGCAAGGTGTTTTATACACATACACATCTGGCCTACTCTATAATGTGCGATTGGGTTTGTTAGTATCTGAGTCCCAATACTGCACTGTCATTTCTGGGGAAGGTGTTACATAGGAGCCAGAAACCCTAAAAAGCAGGACCTTCTTTAAGGTTCTGAAAAGTTACATAAACCCAGGCATCCCAGGGGACCATCCTTCTAGGGAAATGGTGGCTCAGGAAAATGTTAAAATATATCTGGGGGGAAAAACAGAAAAAGACCAGAACATTTAAAATATGGTAAATCCCATAATCTCCCACCTCTAAATCTTTAAGAAAGAACTTTTTGGTTTCCATTAGCAGTCCCAAGGGTTAGGCTGGGGCAAAATAGAGTTTCCCTTCTTGGACGTGCTTTATCTGTGTCCTCGTGCCTGGCCAAGCCCTTGAAGATTATGGTTCCTTATCGTTTAGTAAGATCAAATTTCTAAATGATGTTTCGTTCCAGTTGAACATTCTTGGAGGCTTATCTCTTCCCTGGCCAGATGCCTGATCAGATGAGAAGCCCGCCATGATACTGTCACAGTGCCTAGAATGGGCTCTTTGTCCAGTAGACATCACCGTACTTTTTGGTGATAACGAGGGCAGTCTTAACTTGTGTTAAGGCCTGTGTGTAGCATTGAAGGTAAGTATGAAGGAGTCATTGCTATGTGAATATCATAATCCTGATGCACATTTCAGTATATAGAATCTCCGTTTACCATGATGTGACATATGTATCTGATACTTAGCTAGCCTTTTTAGATAAGGCCTTCATAATTTAGGACCAGTAACTCATGAAGTGGCCTGCTTATTGAGGGCCATGATGGAATTTACCTTCCTTGTAATACTTGCCATTGCTTTGATTTATTTTTGTAATCTTTCTAATGGTCTGCTAGTAGTTTTGCAGAAAGGATTTCTGCTCTTGGTGTATGTCAGTGACAATTAGATAGGGTGCTGTGTTTTTGACTCTTAGGCTTTGAATGTCTTTATTAGAAACAAAGTCTAAGCAGTATTGAGTTTTAGTGTCTGAAAAACCTAGCAGCTTTTAAAAAGATTGAAATTATTTAGTAGCCTAATATTTAGACTCTTAGAATCTTGGGGATCATCTTGTCCAACCCTTTCATTTTATAAATGGGGAGACTCAAGCCCAGGGAAGGAAATGACTTGCCCAAGGACACACACAAGTTAGTGGAGACTAGTGGAGACCTCCTCGTGCCGTTTATAGGAAGCTGAGTCTACACCAGTTAGTGGTTGGAAATTCCAAGCTGTACAGTACAAAGGGGACCTGACTTCTGCTGGACTGTGAGAATGTCTGATGGCATTGGCCCATCAGGGAAATAATTACAGTTAAAATAATATCAGAATGATTCCCAACACATGTTCTCTACCATTCTCCATTTAGGCCATGATCCATGTGTTCTTTCAATAAACATTTACAGAGCATCTGCTGTGTGCCCCCCTCCTATACCAGATACTGCAGATCACAGCCAGTAAGACATGGACTCTGCCCTCAAGTTGCTCACTCTCAAGGAGAACACGAAATCTCGGGAAAACATTGTGCAGAATTCCCTGTAGATGCTAATACCTTTCCTAACTTTAAATCTTGAAGATGAGAGTGACTCTTCTGCCCAAAGATGTAGCTTTTCTCTTGGTCATGATTTTTACATATCAGAAGTCCCATGAAATGCCATACCTTCCTTTTCTGTGAAGGTGAAAGGTATATCAGCAGCAACTATACTCAGTTCCTAAACACTGAATGAGGATCTGTCTGCAAGGCACTGTGCTAGACACCCAGGGATATGAAAACAAAATAATTCAAGATAGAACACTTTATTTTTAATATGTCAGAGCAATATTGTTTCATAGCTTTCAAACTTTGTAATGAGAATTATTTTCAATAAAAATTCATAAATATAGGGCCCTTGAAATAGAAGGCAAAAATGCCTCTACTGTAATCCAGACTTGTCAGCCTAGGATGTCAAGTCTCCATTCAAATCCTCTTTCCTACACCGTGTCTGTTTTGAACTTTCTTTTTCCTTTATCTCAGCCAAACTGCCTGCTTGCCAGTCCCTGCACACAACTAACTCTTGCTTCTGTGCCTTTGCTCGACTAATTCTGCTTGTGGGATGCTTTCTCCCCATGAATCCACGCCCATAACTGCTATTACAGTCTGGCCCGAGTCTGTCTTGTACAAGGTGCCTCCTGTGTCCCTCCCTTATGTGCAAGGCCAGTATGACTGGTGGAATAACATTACTGTGGTGTTCATCAGTGCTTCCCATTCCCTGTCCACATCTTGCTGATCTAGATACAACAGATCTTATTAAATGAAAATCTAGTGTGAGCAGGTGTTTTCTCAGACCTTTTGGGAGTGAATCTGTTTCAGTATCAAAGATTTCATTGTGTTATTTGTGGGCTGTTGTATGATAAAGAGGAAGAAGATCAGAAGCACGAAGACAGGGGTTTGGAAAGCCAGCCTAGGGTCCATGATCTCTGTAAGTGACCCTGTCTCCTTCTGCTCCCAAACAGGGCAAGGGAAAACTCCAGTTACAATAAGGGAGTGTCCGCAAACTGTTAAGCTAGGAAAGCAGGGCTCTGCCTGTTAATCATCTCAAGCCTGTTGATCTGCTGTTCTGTAATTCTTCTAATATTGTTTAATGTGTGTGTGTGTTATCTTCTGAACTGACTGAAAGCTTCTTGAGGACAGGGACCATGTCTTCCGTTTGCTTCTGCATATTCTTTTCCCACTTGCTCCCTAAGAGTACCCTGACAAACCTGGGGAGGCCTTCCATGAACACATAAAGGAGAGGGAGTGCACCGTACTCCAGCCCCTGCGCCACACGTCACATGTATAATGACCTTTGCCCTCATGACAACTCAGGTAGGTAGGTATTCCTGTTCCAGTTCTACAGATAAAAAAATTAAACTTCAGAGAGTTCAGGGCCTTCCTGCTAGTGAGTAGTGGATCCAGGATTAGAACCTAGGTCTGTCTGACTCCAAAACTTTTCATGTGCCTTTCACTAAACCACAAGAATGATAGTTTTTAGGACTTGTTTTACAGTGCATAGAACTCTTTCATCTACATTATCATTATTCTTACTGTTACTGCTACCACTGCTAGTACTACTACTGTTACTCCTTTATATCACCACCGGGAAGTAGGTAGAGCTAGTATTATCATTAGCCCCATTTCACAGATGGGGAAACTGAGGCTCAGACTCATCCAAGATCCCACAGCTGGTAAGTGGAAGAGCCGGGACTTCAGACTTCCTGACTGTAGATCTTTTTGTTCTTTCCACTACATCACATTATTGCCTCAGTTCATTTGCACGAATGCATGATTATGTGGCTGGTTATCACTGACACCTGTCCTACAGAAATGTCAGTAAGTCCAAGCATCACATGGAGCTATGTGGAAAAGGAAATGATTCATATCCTCAGAGGAGCTTCCATATTAGTGAAGGGGTGATAGACTGGGCCCAAAAAATAAGTGCTCAAGAAAGAGTTCACAAGTGAGAAATAAAATATGGGGCCTTTGTTCTATAGATAAATTCCTATAATTTGACCATAAAGTCATGGACTATTGTAATGTTCTTAATTCTTTCCATTGTAAAATTGGAGTAGGGAATCGAAATTGATGTCAAATAGTTCTCCTGGGTTTCAGTGAGAAAGTACTGGCTGCTTCGTACAAGTTGGTAGCTAGTTGCCGCGTCGTCTGTTCAGGAGATGCAGCAGTGTTAGTAGCGGCCAGGGGCGGTAGGGCGTCCACCCAGCAGCTCACCCTGTCGGATAGGAGTCCTCTGTTCTCATTTGCTGATCCTACCGCTACCTAGGCCTCCCCTACCTTACTGGGTCCTCTGTCCACCAGCTCCTTTAGACTTTTGAACTTTCTTATTCTTTAATGTATTATTCCCAGCAGGTTGTCCCTTTCTCTTTTTATATCAAAAATTAGTAAACAGTGTCCAATATCACCAAGTCTTCAGCACAATCAGAATTAGGAGACTGTGCTATAAATCTGTAGTATATATCCGTGTAAACAGTTCTAATGGGAACAGATTGTTTCTGGCTTAACACTAAACATTGCCACCTGGTTGTCACACAAGAACCCCAGGCTTTTCATGTCCTGAAAGATGGCAGCATCTCCCCACCAAATCTGCTCTGGCTGCTGTATTCTTGCTCCAGTGAATGGCAGCACCATCCACTCGGTCAGTGGAAGCCATAGCCTTCTACCCCTTACTGTCCTTCACCAGCCCTCTGCCCTTCCAGGGATCACAGATCTACGTCAGAAATGTAACCTTTTCTTCCCACAAGCACAGTCATAACCCAGCTTTCTGTCTCCTCTCATGCACTTCCAGTGACATCCTAATGACATCTCTGCCACCAGTGTGTCCTACTCCAGTGTGTCTGCCACACTGCTGCCAAAGATCCCTCCCTGGCATTTAAGACATTGGACTACCAGACCCCAAACTACCCTTGCAGCCTCACCTCACCCCTCCCAACAGGGCCCTTTCACAGCTTCATGAGAGGAGAGTCCAGAAAGGTCTACAGAATCACATAGGTAGATAGGACCACACAGACCCCTGTCCAGACTCTACCTGAAATGCTCTGTGCCATCCTCGCTGGGCACAAGATGCATGGTGGTGGTGCCCCCCTGACCAGTCTGGTCTGTGCTTCACCTCAGAGCTGCCACAACTCTTTGTTCCTGATTCTGCTACAGCATTTATCCCATTACATTCTGAGTTATTTCGGTATGTTGTCTCACCCACTCCAAGGACAGCAGCTGGGCCCAGCCTTCCATTTCTCCCCAGGATAATGTGTAGTTCCAGCATGTAGTTCTTGAACAGATGTTTGATCAGCTGCACCCAGGGTGTGCTCCTCCAGGGCAGTTAGAGCAGGTAACCCAGATGTGCTGTGCTGCAAAGAGCACTGGCCTGGGATTCAGATTCACTGACCTGTGTCCCAGGTCCAGCTTTGCCCCTAGATGTGACCTTGGGTAAGTCAGTCTCCTTTGCTAAACAAGGGGGTTGGACTAAATGATCTCTAAGTTCTTTGGTTCTGACCCCACTTCTTGGATCAGGAAACACATCTCCTCTGTAACGTTCAGGAGCCCCAGCTTAGCCAGCCACCCACACAGATTACCCAGACAAATTTCCAAACTCTCGGAAATAGTCTCCTGGTGCCAGAACTGCCTGACGAGGCTCCCGCTGGCTCACCCAGTGACCTGGACCATTCTGACCCCTCGCCAGGGCGTCTCGCTGCGTCTCTGACACATCTCACTGCCGTGTGGCTGGGCCCACCTGGAAGGGAGCCCTCCTTCTGCTGGCCTTAGGGACAGCAGCACGGAGGCAGAGGGAGAGGAGCTTTTATTACGTCCCTTCACCCCAGAGCCCCCCACCCTCACAGCCCCTGCGGGGTGCTTCTCAGGGATAGACAGGTCTTCAGGGGGCGATACCCGTTTCTGTGAGAAATTCCTTGGAGCAGCTCATGTGCCTCTTCAAGTTACGGACCTTTGTGGGTGGGAGGACTAGAGGCAGCAACTCGACAGGTACAGTCACCATCATCTCCATGTAATAAATAAGAGCCTGTGAAAAGATTAAATCTTTCCTAATGCTTTTTGATTGGCTTAATCAATAATTAATCATCTTTAGAAGAGGCTTTAACTTGTGGAGTAGATGTAATTGGATTAGCTGAAAGAGGCAGTTGGGGCGCTTTGAAGAGATTAAAATGGCTGTCAATCCCATAATTAAACTGCCACAGACAAAAGCAATGGTGTTTCTTAAAAAATGGAGGAAAGAAAGAGAGAGAGGAGGAAATAAAAGGGAGAGAAAGTTGGGAAGGCCACCTGATTTGAAATAAATACTTAGTATCGCTAGAGATTGGAGAGGCAGTCAAACCCGACAGCCGGACCCCGGATGAAATGCGTGCGGATCGAGTCGGCCCTTTAACCGTGTGCCTGGCCCACCGGGACGGGCGGAGTTCCGGCAGCTTCAGCCTTACTAGAACCAAACGCATCCATAGACGGAAAAAACAAGTTAATTATTAAAAACAGAAGAGACCTGCTCCTTGTCCTGAGCCCATTTAGACCTTGACTTTTCATACCTTTAATTGGCTCAGTAGGTTTGGCCTGTGTGAATGAAGTCTTTTATCTCCCTCTTTTTCTTTCCATGCCCCTTTCATCTTTCCTGTTACAAACACACAGAGAGTTGAGGGAAAATACTTGGGTTTTTAAAGACTTTTCTTTTAAAAGGATGTGTACTTGGGCGGGGGGAGGGGAGTGCGCGTGATGCCGGTGAATACTGTTTTTCTCTCTTTTATCTCCTTGTCCAGAGAGGAGCTGCTCAGACCCATGGGGCTGAAGCCTGATGGGACGGTGACGCCTTTGGAGGAGGCGCTCAGCCAGTACCCCGCCATCGAGGACACCGGCTCGGACACCGACTGAGGGCGCCTGCCCGGCTCCCGGTACTGCTTTCGTCGGCATCTTCTCTCTGTAGCTCCAGGGGAACCTTTTCTCCAAAATATTTATGCCTTTGCTTCGGCTAGAAACACATGAACCGGTGTACGTACTGAGAATCCAGCATATTGAAGAGGTGATCCTGTGTTTCCACAATACTGAGGCGTTCATAGAGAGCTGCAGTTAATCGGAATTGCAGGGGCTAAAAGCAGAAAAAGTAAGTCCATTTCACGAGGACGGAACTGAAGGACCTCCTTCGCCAAGGCGGCCCCCGGTGAATGCGGCCCTTCTGTGCGTCGGGATCCCCAGCGGCCTCAGCCTTGACCTCCTCCCGCCCGCGGGAGCCGCGCCCTCCGGATCTCCCGGGCGGACAGGGGCGCATGCGGAGCAGAATGAGCTGCTAAGTGCGGGCCGAGGCCAGCGGCTTGTCGGAACCGACATCATGGCAGCCAGTCAGCTGCTCCGTGAACCTAGCCCCACTTTCCATTTCAGTTTTGTATAAACATACGAAATGCGCGCGCGCACATACACACACAGCCCCAGCCTTGCAAATTGATTACACTCTAAAGGTTTTTATGTCACTTATCTAGAATTTCAGATTCCATTTTTCCCTATAAGGAGTTATGAATGATGGTTTAGTTCTGAGGCAGCTACAAATGCCTATTTATTCCCTCATGTACCTGAACACTAGTACCATGGAACTAACCCCCATCTGTATCATTGCATGGGGAGCATGCATTCTGAGGTCTAACTCGGGGTGCCAGAAACACATGTCCTCCAACCTAGCAGAGGGAATGGGGCCGCCCTGAGTTCTGGGAGTTCTTTTGCGGCCTCTGCTGGGGGCAGGTAGTCAGCAGCACCCATTTGTACATATAGGTCATTCATACGTCACGTTGTAAATTGGGGAGTGTGTGTGTGTGTGTGTGTGTGTGTGTGTGTGTGTGTGTGCGCGCGTGCCCTACCTTTCTACTATTTGTGATCAGTTTAATGGTAACTTTATTTATTTAAAAAAAGAAACACAAATAGTTACTGTTAAACTGATTAAGGCTGTTTATTTTTACTTTTAGAATTGGTCGTATGAAGAAGTAGAAAATGAATTATGCACTAGACAGTGGGCCTAGTTAATCAGTGACTAAAGTTGAAAAGGGGTTGGTTTCCTTTTATGTATGTACGTATGTATATGTATATACATACGTACATATATATATATATACACATAGATAATGTGCTTAACCACTGCCTTTTAAGACTTTAAATTAAATAAAATATTGGGGTTGATTCAATTTAGCCATCTGTGTGTGTTTCTTTATAGATACGTGGGATAAACAGTATTTCACGGTTTATGCTTTTTTAAAGTGCTTAAAAACATCCATTATCTCACTTATAATAGCATTTCTAAGGACAGGGTAATGTACATGGAGTGACTGTCACTATCTAGAATTCACTTTTCTGGCAAAACAACAGATCAGCAATTTTTTAAAAGGCCTTTGAGCTGCCAAAAAAGATGTCAGGAATTTCTTGCGGTTTGCTCCTTGAAGAGATCCTCAAGAATCTTTTTGTCTCTTTTCTACAATTTGCATACTTTCTAACATATTTAGTTATCTGGCTTTCTGGCCCACAAAAAAATGGCCAAGGAGGAGGCTGCTAGATGGAAGGCAGGGCTGCTGGAAGCAGCTGAAAACCAGCTAGCAAGGTGGGGTGGCAGAGCCCTGGGGTGTCACGAGTATGGGAGGGTGTGGTTCCCAAGGACACACTGGCTGATCCAGGAGATGGCACAACACTGTGGCCACGAGCTCAGAGGGGAGACCCTGAGCTGCTGACAAAACATAACAGGCTAGGATGACTATTACACATTTTAGGATTTTCACCAAAACAGCTGAAGTTGTGAGTTGGCCCATGTTTTAACAGTAAAAAAAAAATGCAACGTGGCAATTCATAATTTTAGATTATGTTTAAAAGTTTAGAAAAAAGAATTTTAAGTATTTTTGTTACTTCATTCTACAAATGCATTTTTTAAGTATTTTTATAATTTCTGTAATCAAATAGCTTCGGCACGAGTGTAGCCTTACCTAAATGGAGGCGTGGTAATGAAGTGCCACCTTGCCGGCTGCATCAGAGTAAGCGTTTGAAGAGTCCTGTTTAAGGCGCTGTGCTCCTCTGCTGTCCAAGAATTGTTTCATTTTAAGTTTCCCTGCACCGGACACTTACGCTCAGTTTCTGCAGAAAGAATTTGCAAAGGGAGAAGATGAGCGACCTCGTCTTGCACATGGAGAGAACCAACATCTGCTGAGCGCTTACTACGCGCAGGCTCCTTATGTGTCTCGTCTCTGTAACCTTACCACGTTTATATGAGAGGTCATCTCTAAAGAGTGTAAGTTCCCCGAAGTCCCACAGTAGAGTCCAGCTCTGGCCAGCCTGACTCCCAGCACCTCTCCTACCCTTTCACCACTGCCCACCTGGGCCCACGCTGTGCCTCCTGTGACTCTGGAGTGCTGGGAGCATGGGCATGCTCAGGCCATTTTAAGCAATAACTATTTTGGCAGAACCTGTTTAAAGAACTTTTTAAGCAGGGAGGTGACTCGGAGTTGGGCTGTGAGTGGGAAACCCACACAGCTAGTACTATATTTCAGACAAGGACCTGGGAGCCGTTTAGGTCAGAGACCAGGGCAGCAGTTCCCTGCAGACATCTGCCTGGCTCCAGTGCCCTGCAGCGAGGGTGAGGAGAACGCCCTGGCTGACCACACAGCAGGACTCTGTGGCCACATCCCCCCCAGCCTTCCAAACGGCGTGCAAGAGCGTGTCCTGAAATCAGCCCTTGAGCTGTGCTTTAGAGAAACAAGCCACAGACACTTGGGGCCCTTGCACACACCCAGCACCCGTGTGAGGCGCGCAGGACAGCTGTGAACACCCTCCTTAAAGACAGGACACTGGCTGAGGCAGTACAAACACTAAACAGCCCCTCATCGCCACACCAGTCTTGCCGCCTCCCAGTGCTAGGTGTCACCTGTACTGACTCCTTCCCCTCCAACTCAATTACAAAAGTAGTATGTTCATCATGGAAAGTATGGAAAATTCAGAAAAAAATAAAGTATGGAAAATCCCACCATCCTGAGATAATCACTGTTCATGTCTTAGTGTATTTACATCCTGTATTTTTTTATGCATATATAATTTATTTTACTATAAAACTGGGGTCATGTGGTGTTTACAAATTTGTATCCTGCTTCCTTCTTTAACATTGTGAGCATTTTCCCATGTCAATAAATATTCTTCAAAAATAAATGGCTATATGACATTCCATCATAGGAATTGTGGTAAACCCTGATTTTCTACCCAGTATTCTTACTAACAGAGAAGGCGTCGTGACTTACCCCTCCATGCCCCCAAAAAAGTGCCTGCCGCTTTCTGGAAGGCAGCAGGGGCCTGTCAGCACTGGAGCAACAGGAAATAGGAATGGTACCAGGAAGAGCAGACTGGCTCTCTCATACAGCATCTGTCTTGCAGAATTCTCGGTAGCACCAGTCATGATGCACTTAGATTAAATGCCCAGATTTCTATGGTTTCTGTCAAGAAGAGGCATTTGAAAATAGCAAGCAATCCAGATGACTTTAAAAAGTATGCATGTGGGAAAAATGTCAATCATGTTTACTGCTATGCAGTCCAGTTACTGGCATGAGCTTTCCTGGAGATAGTCTTCACTGCGATTCCAGGGGTGGAGGGGGCTTCACAGGATGGGGACAGAAGTGTAGTTTTTTGAAGAAAATCAAGGTGACACTTGTCAGAACTACTGGGTATGACAGTCACAATATGGAGAAGAAACGAGTAGATGGTGTTCTAGGAACAAGTCGTGGGTGAGGGAAGGAGATTTTTGACAAGTGCCATAATCGAAGACGGGAGGAAAGGGAGAAGCCTGCAGCAAGGGCTGAGGGTGTGGCCCGTGCACTGTGCTGAGCCCCTGCACCAGCTCTTCAGGAAGCAGCGGAGCAGCCTTTTTGAAACGGGGTAGAGTAGGGAGAGGATTGAGCCTCAGTGCCCTAAATCACGCATTGTATAGGGTGAATCAACGTATGTGCACTGAGAGAGGTGTCAGTATATCATAGCATAATCAGGCCAGTTACTTCTGAGTTCTGTGATTTGGGTGAACCCTGGAGAAAGACTGGCCTAAAGAAAAGATTAAGGTTATTCGCCAAGGCTTCTAGATTCAAGATTTGTTTTAGTGCAACCCAAGAAGATCTCTGGCCACAAGCTCCGGCTGTATCCAAGTGTCATGTTTGGTGCAGAAAAGGAAAAGGGCTATAACAATGACAGCTGTGTACATTTATTGGCAATTACTGTGCCAGACACCATGCTAAGTACTTAACATGCACTTCCTAATTTCACCTTCATGACTTTATGAAGTCCTATTATAATAATCCCACTTCTCAGATGAGGAAACTAATGCATAAATGTGTTACGTACTGTGTGCAAACACAGCCACTAAGCAAAATCAGAATTCAAGCCATGTCTGATGCCCATGCAGATACTATGCGATGTGTTGCTTTTGCAATCAGAGAAAAACACAAAGTCTCATTTATTTGGGAGAAAAAAATGTCAGAAGAAACTAAAAGGGAGGGAGAATTGGGGAAATTTTTTAATGTTTTCCCCCTGCATTCCCATATCTCAACAATACATTGAATCCCATTCAGTAGCTAGTCTCAAGCACATCAATCTGTTATGTAAACGTTGATTGGGCAGCTACTCTGTGTGCCAGGCAATGTGCAAGGTACTCAGAGATACAAACATGACTGAAAGTTCCTGTCCAACGTGCCCACAGCGTGAGAGGTCCATGACCAAAGCCTGCACAAAGTGCTACAGGTGCTAGGAAAGCGGTGGCCAGCACTGGGCAGGACTGTGGGGACTGAATAATGAAGTCTCTTCTCACAGGTGACATGTGAGGTAAGCACCTGCTTGCCATGTATAGGAGAAAGGTTGTTCTGGCTAGAAGAACCAGTTTAAACAAAAGCTCTTGGGCAAAAGGTACATGATGTGTTTATAGAACATAAGCAGCTGAGTATAACTGAAACAAGGTATCCTGTGCCTCATGATGAGACACATAAGTAGTAGTACTTCAGGCAAGGAAAGGATGCAACCAGAAAGATCCCTGTGGCTGCGGCAGAATGAATGGAGGGAGGGCAGCAGTAAGAAGAGAGACCAGATATAAGGCTGGTGCATCAGTGATTTGGTGTTGGAGAAAGCGAAGAAAAAGGTCACTGAAACTCAAGTGAGAATGACTCTGGGGAAAATGTAACCTAAAACCCTGGCTTCCAACCTGTGAACTAAGCAACTTTGGGTTTGGGAACAGGAGGGTGAAGCTAAAAGTTACTTTAAGGAATCTGCCAGTTTGTATGGTCACCAAGCATTATTTTTACACTGAATGAACAATGTCTCGGACATGCAAGCACTCCTTTTTCACAAATATTGTATATGTACATACTGATGCGATGAATAAAATAAAAACTCGTAAGTATTACTGAATCCATAATATCCTTTAGCCCATAGTATTGGCTGTATTTTCTCAGTCAAAATATGCTAATCATAAACAGTTATGATGTGGAATGACAACGTTTAGGCTTTTTTAAAAAATCATAAGTGAGAAGACTTAGAGGTCTTGGTAACAAGTATCAGAAACTCAAAAGCTTAGTGTTAGAAGAACACTGAGGTATTTTTTGTAAAGGAAGGAGAAATAAACAGCTAAGCTATGGGAAGAATGGAGATGTAGTGGATTCTATTATAATAGAAACCCGGATTTTACTAGAGGGGAAGAGGAAAGAATTCATAAAATCCTTTTTTCACAATAAATTATGACTTTCAAAACTGTTATTTTGTTTTCAAAGTAAAAAAATTGTTTTTAATTATTTTCTTTTCTGCTGTAACAATTCTAAATCCCTTCTCCTCCACCCGTCTACCTCAAGGCAGATGATAAGTTCACTAAGAATAAAGTTATAAACTCAGGGAAAAAAAATACATATTGACAGATTTAAAAAAACACTATATATTCATTTATTCAAAAAAAACACCTCTGAAATTGAAAACTTTATTATGGTTTAATGTCTGATTTCTATGTAGTGTAAGTAAATAGAGTTACTACTGTGGTACTAAACAAAACAATTTTCATACCAAAAGCACATTAAACAATGGAAATTAATGAAGTAAATTTCATACTAAAAAATTTATGTGAACCATACAAGATCACAAACTATTCAAAGGTGAAAATACTTTAAAAAAGAGAGAGGAAGAATCTATA